AAAGGCCAACCACAATAACAAATTGTATGGGCGTTTAAAGTTATAGTCCCGTATTCTGGCTACCAGGGTCTAACAATAGACTCGTCCAAAAATAGGTGTGTGAGGTTGTTAGTATTGAATTATCAGGTTACTTGTTTGGGCTATGTTCAAACATGTTTAGAGTTTGGGTTTACGGATAGCTGGGGTGTTGATATGAGCAAGTAATGTTATCTTACACTTAGGGATAGCTGGGGTGTTAATATGAGCAAGTAATGTTATCTTACACTTAGGGATAGCTGGGGTGTTGATATGAGCAAGTAGTGTTATCTTACACTTAGGGATAGCTGGGGTGTTGATATAAGCAAGTAATGTTATCTTACACTTAGGGATAGCTGGGGTGTTGATATTACCAAGGTGTGTTAACTCAAACTATATCCCCAGTAACCCAAATTGGTGAAATGTCTCTAATTTCACATGAGACGACTTCCACACAGCAACACATCTATGACGCTTTGTCCAATGGTGTACAATGAGACAGGCGAACTGAAACTCAATACAGGAAATACAAGTTCAATGATTACGAAGCGAAACCAAGAGTGCGGCCATGCGTTGAAAAAAAAACAAATTTGAACATCTCTTAAACGAGTCTCATAATCATAAGCTTGAATTCTCACATCTAGTCATAGACAGGATCTTGTTATGTGGGGGGAGGGGGGGGGGAGGAGTTCTAACCCCCAGCCCCCGACACTCCGAAACTAGCATCCATCCTGTCAACGCAACAAGCTTTATTTAATTTATTATTTATTTTATTTACGTATTTAAACTAAACGTGTTTAATACAAAAAACACTGCTCCTTCCATTTTAACTCTAAATTTATTCCTTAAATTCAAATTAACCACCCCCCTTCACGTGTTTGTGCAACATAATTCCAAATGTTTTTTAAATAAATATTTTAGCCACAAATATTAACGATAACTAAACACGAATCTTAAAAAAAAGCTCATATTTTATGTCTACCATGAGTCAAACAACGGCAGACAATTACCATAAAAACAAAACTGTACCTGTAATGTTTGGAACAAATCCCTGCCTACCCAGATAAAACTTAGAGGTCAACATGACTTCTCTCCCCTTTCTACCTTGTTCTTGTATTACATTTCCGATGAGCAACAGCAGCTCAACATTTACACAAAGCATTAAAAAATATGAAGTTAAGTTTTTATTTTACTTTAACGCGGCATTATGTCATATTTCTATTTTAAGTCTCGAATCTAAGCCTTTGTTGTCTTTATTTTATGAAGTGTGTTATATTTTAATTTCTGAAATAACGTCGAAAAAAATTCAAACTAAGTAATTAGTATTTGGCGCACTGTAGAAAGATGTGTGCGTTGTCAGTGTACTAAAGTTGTTTTCGTGCACTAAAGTTTTGTTTGTGAAGACAGTGCACTTAAGTTGTTTGTATGGTTAGTGCACTAAAGTTGTTTGAAAAATCAGTGCACTAAAATTGTTTGTATAGTTAGTGCACTAAAGATGTTTGTTAAATCAGTGCACTTTAATTGTTTGTATAATCAGTGCACTAAAGTTTTTTGAGAAATCAGTGCACTAAAGTTGTTTGTGTAGTCAGTGCACTAAAGTTGTTTTCGTGCACTAAAGTTATTTGTGTGGTTTCGTCAGTGCACTAAAGTCGCTCGTGTCTGCTTGATGAAATATATCCGAAAGGTGAGTACACGTCTCACAGGAGACATAAAATGAGCAGACGATTGCAGTCGGTGTGTGTAGGTCGGGGGATATAATACGTAGCAGTAAAAAAAAAAGTGATCTTTGTACCAGTTGCAGTTGCTGGACCTTTTTTATTTATTGTAAGGCGTTATAAGAGAAATAGGGGAGGTAACTTCATTGCTAAGGGCGATTACAAAGGTAAACTTTTCAGATGACATTAACTTTGTTCTTCAATGGGGAAAATAATTTAAAAAACAGAGTTAGTGCTGTTAACATGTACCACTTTTAGGGTGTGTATGTGTGTGGGGGCGGGTAACAATATTAAAGAGCAAATGTGTATATATCAATAGAGTTGAATGCGAACAAGGGGAGCGAACTAGATATCGAATAATGGCCTACATAACTTTACTTTTGGTGTAGAAAACTAAACCCAAACGGCATATCGAATAATTGTCTTACACCAACTTTAATGTAAAAAAAAACTCACCTTGGCAGACAATCGAATGCTAATGTTACCGTATTACTCTTGCTAAACTTTACTTTGATGTGTGTATCAGACCTGTGGTCGCGAGAGATTATCTTGATTGACATATTTTATTAAAAGATAACATTTCTATCGAACTTTTTGTTCCTGCTAACGCATTTTGACATGTTAATGGCGCGTGCTGATTGGTTGAAAATGTTGTATGGACAGCCAATGACTGAGGTTAAGGTTTTTATTTTATATTTATTTTAAAAACACGTAATTATCCTAATGTAGAAAACATTGGTTTAAATGGTTTTTCTAATTAAATGTCTTAGGTTCGTTGTCATATATCTTGTGTACTATTGGTTAATACTTGTCTAGGTTACAAATGGTTAATTGATTACATCTTGTGTTCATGGGACTGACGCGGTGATATTAGATTTCAGTTGTTTTTATCTGTGGTTACGTCATAGGAAGAAATCAATACACAGCTTTTTTTTCGATTTTAAAATCTGCGATAGAAACTGTGTAAACTTTAACGATAAAAACAATCTTTTTTTTTTTTTATAAATTAAATGAAAGACGGTAAGTAATATATCTTCATCAAGAAAATACTCAAATATAATCAGTGTTTTTTTTTTATTAGAATGATCAACACCTTCTGAAGTAAATTAATAATTTAATATTCTTCCATTAAAAAACCACTGCAGACGATGTGTTTTTAATTTACCTTCATCAATCACTCCTGTCACAAAGCAGAAAGAGTAAAGACGCTTCTGTTAGCAAAGACGCGTCATTAGCAAAGGGCAGCAACTCAGCGTGTTTAATGTGGATAACACGCTTACCGTTCCTGACTTCGATGCACATTTTTATTTCTTTTGTTTCTCGTGAACCTTTAAAACCGCTTTTTCTAATCTTCAATGCTGTAAAGAATAGTAAAGTTTTGACATATCGGTAATATATTTGAGAATTTCGAATCCCGTCTAAACACCAACAGTTGCTTTAAGCTAGGATTTTGCTGGTGACAACCACTGTCTTCTGAGTTGATTAACATCTGCAAGACAGCCTTAACACATTACCATCCCTCCTTGGCACCAAGCATTAATAATAAAATAGATGTTATTTAAATGTTCTTAAGGAGAGGTGGTGTTCAAGAATCAATTTATAAAAAAAGATCTACATTTACCTAATTAAATAGATAAGGTTTTTTTTTATATTAGATGGAAAGTTAAGCATTTATAAATAACTTAATTTATAAATAGAACAAAAAATTTGTGGATAAAATAAAATATATCTTTATTAATTACATTATACAACAGGATTTACAATACTCCCATATGTTAGGGCAGCTTAATTGGGGGGGGGGGGTGTCTTAGCTTCTACAAACCCAAATGTTTTTCAGCCATTCATAATCTACACCACAGATGTGGCTTGCAACCAGATTAAATTCAATTTCATGAATGTAAATTAATTCTTGAAAGACAAGTGGCTATTGTTTGGTTTAGCTTTAGCATAATGTTATCCAACACCGTAACCTTTGTAATAAAAGTAAAAAAATAATCTGTTAAAATTTAGGATCAAAACCCATGAAGAAACATGACATCATGAATGAATACTGCTTCCTTACAAATATTTTACAATAAGTATTTTTAAAAGCATGTTCCCACAAGTTGATACAAACTGCATTAAAATATTTTAAAGTAATCAATAAATAGATATTATTATAGGAATATTTAAAGTATAAGAACAAAAAAAAGATAAATTTTAACACTAACACTGTTGATGAAATTAAATTTTTAGAACTTGGTAAATATCATTATATAAGATACACATTATTATTATTATTATTATATTATTTAAATAGAGGAAAAAATGAATGATGTGTACTAGCTCAGCAACAAAATTTAAAACATGCGAATAATAAAAGTTTGGTTAAAATGAAGCTTTGTTTAAAATAAGTTAAATTAAAGAATATCAAACAATATACAACAATAGTTTCCAACTTAACTATACCTGGTGTAGGAATAAGTATTTAAAAAAAAAATTTTAAAATAAAGATTTAACAAAGAGTCAGAGATTTCTTTTGTAAGAGCTCATGAACAAATCTACTCAATGCATATTATGTGTTGTAGTGCATCAAATCATCTGAATCAATGCACCATTTCCTGGAAATGACATTCTTCAAACTGGGAAAATCCAAACAACCGCAAATAACTCTAAAAAAACTTATTGATCTCCAATACAAAAAGTACATTTTTTTTACATAATAGATGAAACTTTGATACATGTTTGATAGAGGATAAAAATAGAATTTAAAAAAAACTTTATTTTAAAAAGTTTTTTCAATAAAGCTGTTTGTTCCAATACACCCATAAAAGGCAAATGGAAGTAATGGCAATAAACTCTATTCAATTCTAATGTCACAAACAACTTATAAAGGGAAAAATTCTTCCACGCATAAAATAATGCTGATCAACTCACCTTCACCATAAAATTTTTTTAAATATACAACATTTTATATATATATATATATATATATATATATATATATATATATATATATATATATATATATATATATATATATATATATATATATATATATATATATATATATATAGGCCCTATTTATATAAATTTGTCAATGGTTTACATTTACATTTAGCAGTTTTATTATTTTTGACATATTTATGTTTAATTACCAATAAAATAATAATTTTGTTTATTTGTGATTCATATCAATTGATATTTTTTTTATTTTGATATTTTTTCAATAAAAAACATGACTATGAATATTATAAAGACAAAAAAAAACACTATTTTAGTTTGCTTCATAATTTAAAAGGTATAATAATGATCTTATTTATAAGTAAAAAATCACAGAAGCAATAATTAAATTACCAGAAAAATAATTTAAAATATAGATTATAAAAAAATTAAATTCTGTTATTTAAAAGCACGATTTATTAAAATAAATAATAATAATTACATAATATGGATATTTCTTTTTTCAATTTTAAAACAAACCCATCCTAGTAAACATGAATGTGAAACTGAAGCAAAAAATGACTAGACGCTTCTTTGTTGGATTGGTTTAAAATCGATAAAATTAAACAACAATGTGTTTTCTTATAAGTTGGTTTTTAACAGACAAAACTTTGTGGGAAAACTTAGATATCTCTTATTCAGTTTTTTTTTTCCAAAATTTATTTCATTTCATTTGTACAAGTTTAGATTTTTTTTTAAATAATGTGAGTACTTAACATTTAATGAGGTAAATTATAAAACCTGGAATCCAGTGTGAAGTTCAAGCCTGTGTTGACATCAAAAGTGCTATGCACAGCACCGGGAAACTGATGCTTTAACAATGATGCTGTCATGACTAGTCCACCTGAACTCCCCTCACAAGCTGGGGCGTCATAGAACTTCTTAACCCTAATACCATCCACCATCTCTTTCCTGACGCGCCCTAGCGTCACATATTTGGACAAGCCGTGCGGATGTGATATCAGGGCCACCCAACTTTTATCTTCTTTATGCTTCAATCTGTGTGCTTGCTGGGCTTTTGTCGTGCTTGTAAGCATCTGCTTATAGCTTGATTTTATATTCTGAAGAACAATGCCAGCAGTATTGAACAAGTTTTTATCATGTGACATCACATGCAAGGTCACATGATCTTGTAGGATATTCACCCCAACAATAGCTGCAACATGGCCTTGAACTACACCTCTCCCATCCGGGGAGTTAAAAAAAAACTTCACCTGAGCATTGTCTGCTTCAGACTTATCAAAAATGACATGTCTGCTTGTATGGACTGTCACGCCACTGTAGAAAAAATGTTTTTCTGCGTTATTTTTCTTGTTGGCCGGACTAATGGGTGAGGCACAGCTTGCAGTACTACTTGTATTAGGGGACGATGACCCAAAATCAAAACTTGAGTTGGAACAGAAGGATGAGTTTTGATCAACGGAAGAACTGACAATTTTACTGGGCAAAGCATGCTTGCAATCTTTGATCTTGCATCTAAATTTCATGATCTGTTCATCAACAGCCCCAATAAAACCTGTTCCATTCCTGATTCTGTTGGTGCCAATATATTTGCTGTATTCATCCCCTTGTCCCCTTGCAGCACTGGTAGAGTTGACAGAAATCTGAACCACCAGGTCGGCAGCACAGCTAAGAAATGTAATGCTGTCTACATGTTGTATTTCTCGGGGTAGAAACTTGACCTAAGAAGAATACAACAGTATTGTAAGGAGAAAGTGTAGAGTATTCTAATATCATTTTTTACAAATTTATTCCTACTTTAAAGGAGTATAAGGTATAACAGATGGTAAAAGACAGAGATGGGGATTATGAGGAGTGGACAAAGTATTGTGGAGGGTTTACAACAGGCCATTACAGCAAACATAAAGGCCAACCTAGAATTATCCAGAAAAAAAAATGGCCACTTAACTTAAGCTAATTAACCACCAATAAATTCAACTGCATACTTAAACCACAAGTTCACACAATTTTTATTTTTATTTGAGTATATAGTTTCAATGATGCATCTGTGAGTGTTAGTTGTTTTAGGTTGTTTATTCATCTCTAGAGTGTTTATCCATCTATAATAATTCTCTTCATGGGGACCATGCAAGACATCACATAAATGCACGCCGTTACTCCCCGCTCTCTAGGCATATAGCTACCACCCCCACCATTCTGGTAAGCTAAGGTTCACCCCGAATGTTTACAATCGTAGAGCCCGGTCGAATTAGTAATGGCAATTAGGGGCAGATAATTTAGCTTTTAAACTATTTGAAATTAAAGAGAGGTAAGAAGTTCTGCTTGATCTTTTCATTCTCATCTGTAAACTGTCGTTACGGACGGCTGCTTTCACTGTGGCGGGGAGGGGGGGGGGGGGGGGAACGGAAGGGAGGGTAGAGTCAAATTCACTAACTATGAAGTACTGAAAATTAGAATATAAAACAACTAAATAACGGCATATCATACGCTGCGAGTCAGCTCGTTTGTTATGAAATAAATAAAATGCTACTCTGTACTAAATATACAGAGCTTACATATTTAAGTAATGTAAATAATATTTTCTTAATTAAATGTATTCATTTATTTTTGGCATGAACTTTTGGAACTGAGAACAGTCAGGTGCATTGTTTTTTTTTTAGCATATATGAAGTTTTTAAATGTTGACTGCTAATTAACTATCTTTAAATTAATTAATACAGCACATTTCACTGATTAAATAAGTTTTACTTACTTGCAACTCAGAAGGTGCGTAGAAACACAAATGATCTGAGTTCAGTTCACAGTTTTTAACATTCAAATTTCTTGAGTCGTTCTGATTGGATGTCAAGTTATGTTCATTCAAATTGCTCTCAAATGACAGCACTGAAGTATTCATACTGTACTGGTTACCATTGCCATCAAAGTTTCCTTGAATAGATTTCCTATGTTTAGATTCAAATTTTGACTGATTCAACACAAATGAATCAGGAGAATCCATGCTCTGAAGTTTGTCCGTGTTGGTAACTGTGTGTTGTTTACTAGATGAATAGCTAAACTGCTGTTCATAAGAAACAAGTGTAGCAGATTGTGAACTACAGTTCACAGGCGGTGAAGCGTGACCGTAGCTTTCATCTGGCTCTGGGGGCAGAGAAAACTCTTTGAGTGAGTCTAGTGAGTATTTTTGTATGTTTTCTCCCAAGCTGCCAAGGTTGTCGTTTTCAGTTAAACCAGTGCCGGAGCTTGTATCCAGAGAGCTGCCCAAATCTAAAGAGGGCAAATTGGAATCATACGGAGTCTTGAAGATATCTGTATCCAGAGATGGCAGGTTTGGTGGTTCTCTGTACAACAAATGTCTTGGTTTTTTTCTTGGGGTGCTTGCTGTTGATTCCTTTGTTTCTGTGGATGAGATTCCTTCCTCTTGCAAGTTTTCCACAACATCTTTATTGGCTTCAGAGCTGTCGTCTCTTTTCAGTTGTCTTTTCTTTGTTTGTTTGGGTGGATTCTCTTTGAGTGACTGCTCCAAACTTGTATCCATATTTGTATTGTTTGAGTTTGTAATTGTAGTTAGAATTTATTTGTTAATCAATATTTGCAGGTGTATTTGTAAAACTGTGTTCATCTGACATTCTGTAGGACAAACAGAACAACTAAGTTAACTCACAGCATTTGAGAGAAAACTTAAAATGACTGAGATAATTATTTATTTACTTATACTTTGCAAAAAAAAGAAAAATAATTTACTTTTTAAAACATTTTAGGCCCGAATAAATAGGGAAGTATGTACATAGCATTTTAAATTGATATGATTAGTAATTTTTTTTTTGCATTTACTGATAAATAAATTAATTGTCGAAAGTTTATTTATAGTATCATTAAAAACAAAATAACATACAAACATACTTTAATATTAGAATATAGGCCTCTCAACTACGTAAGTTGCAACTAAGCATAGGATACTCAGTAATTGCGTAAATAACTTAGTCTTAGATCTAGTGTTGAGTCATTAGCACCGCTCATTCTGATGTTTCTTACACTCAACAATAATAAATAATTTGAATGATAACTTTCTATTTTAAATTTTTCATTGATATTTTCTATAGCTAAAAACAATAAATATTTGTACTAAATATTTAGGCCGAATTATATATAATTTTATGACAAAATTTGAGAATCTTAATTCTTATGGCCAAACATCATTTCAGTTGAGGAGTTTAAAAAACAAAGAACACCCCCAGAATTGAATAACATTTGTTAAGAAAAAATATAAAGTGTCTGTAACACTGCTGATGGAAACTCAAACTGTAAGGTTGGGCCATGTGCTAAGAATGAGAGCGGATACATCGGCTAGGACTGCTTGCAGTTGGACACCACAGGGCAAGATAAAATTAAAGAGGGCGACCAAAAGAAACTTGAGAATCAAAGGAGAAAGAGTTAAAGGGAAGAGGCCTAACATTCTAACAGAGGTTATAGCTAGAAACAGGATGATGGTGATAACTTGTTGATGCATTGCGTGCCAATGGGTGTTGAGAGACGATGATGTAACAGAAATCTATAAATTACAAATACTGATGGATTGAAAAAAGTCATACTCTTCTTTTCATCTTGATCAAGAGTAATGGTTCTTAACCTTTTTAGAGCTACCGAACACCACCAGTTTCATGCACATTCACATAATCTAAATCTTCTTATAATAACAGCACAGTTCTATCGTTGGCAATGACAAAAAATCCTAGATCTAGATCTAGAATCTAGATCTATATTAGATCTAGACTATCTAGATCTATATTCAATTCTATAGCGAATCATATGAGTTTGGTTGGGTGGGTGTCTTGATGATTTCAGAATTTCAGATTTACTGATTTAGCTAGTCACTGTAGTCAGCTAGATCTAGTCTCTTGAAGTGAAATTTAAATATAGCCTATAGATATAGAGTTAGATCTAGAATCTAGGCCTAATTAAAGTAGGCTGAAATGAAAATAAACTTACGTGCATAAACATTTGAAATTTTGTATCGGAATGACCAGAGCAGACTAACACTAGATCTAGATTCTCTAGATCTAATAAACAGGTTTATTTTGAAGGCCAGCAACAATGAAAAATAAGACCGATTTTTTTCACTACTTCCTTTTAATTTAATTATAACAGAAAAAAATTTCCGAAAAAAAAATGAAGAATCGGAAATTCCCTTTCGTGTTTTGTTTTTATTTTCACGAAGTATTCCTGGTAAAGTCTAGTTACTGAGTTACTGGTATACGAACTAGAATCTAGATCTAGATCTAGGCTATAGAGCGAGGAAGTGGTCGTGCAAACAAAAACAAAACTTTAAAAAAAAATTAGATTTTTACAAATCTCAACGATTTTTTTTACACCTCCCTGCCCCTGAGTTGGAAAAACTTAGTTTAGAAATTTTGCCTGTATGTGAATGTCTGTAGTCTGTGTGTCTGTCTGTGAATACGATAACGTAAGTAGTCAGTTTAAAGTTTACGTTGGGTTGAAGCAATTTCATATAGATCTAGTGCAGAGGCGTAGCGAGGGGGGGGGGGCGGGGTGCCGATCAGTGTTTCTTCCAGACTTTTTTGTCCGGGGGGGCACTTGAAATCTTCGGGGGGGGGGCGGTAAACTTTCTTCGGGGGGGCGGACACTGTTAAAAGTATATATTTTCTATATAAATTATATAAATTTCATTTCGTTCGGGGGGGCGGTAAAAAATTTTCGGGGGGGCTTCGCCCCCCCGAAGAGATGCCTGGAAGAAACTCTGGTGCCGATCGCACCGGGTGACACCATTTAGGGGGGTGACACCAAGGCAAAAAATAGCAAAATATATGGAGAAAAACTTGAGGGGGGTGCAAATCGAACGTTTGAGGAGGGGGGGGGGGGTGCAAATCGAAAACTTGAAAGTTTGTCCCTGGGAAGGGTCACTGCGCCTCTGAGGGGGTGACACCATAGTGCCGCACCGGGTGACACCCGACCTCGCTACGCCACTGATCTAGTGACATATACTATAGACCTAGATCTATAAATAGTATATTAAACTCGTAGTTCTCTATTAACTTACTAATGATTTCCGGTAACTGGAAGAGGTACTTACTCTACTTCTGGTCTCTGAAAAATCAATAACTTGCGGACCGTTGAAGTTTAATAGGTGGACAAAATTTCATATAAATTTCATATAACTCTTTTATAATAAGAGTATTACATTGTAGGCTATGCACTTGTTTCTGTTACAATTTAATCGATTTCCGCTAACCAGAAGTGGTACTTTACTATATTTGCGTGTGAAATATATAAGTATGCTATAAGATCTTAATTCAGTGGCGTCGCAAGGTCGGGTGTCACCTGGTGCGGAACCTCAAGGTGTCAAACAGCGAGGATACCCCACCCCTCCCCATTGTCGGAGCGTTAATTTGTACTTAAAAGACTTTTTAAAAATCTAATAAATCATTAACTGAGCAGACAAAAAAGCATTTCTCCTCAATATATTTTGCAATGGTTTGTGTTTTTGTCACCCGCCCCCCCCCCCCCCTCGCTACTGGGGGGGGGGGGGGGGGGGTGACAAAAACACATATGTTCCCGGGCGCCGACCTTAGGGGGCGCCAAAATGGGTTGGAAAAATAAATCGAAAGTTTGAGGGGGTGCAAATCGAAATCTGGAGGGGGGGGTGCAAATTGAAATCTTGAGGGGGGAGGGGGTGCAAATCAAAAAGTTTGTCCCCAGGTGCCGGGAAGGGTCGCTACACCTCTGCCCCCCCATCTAAATGGTGTCACCCAGTGCAATCTGCACCCTCCGCCCCCGCCTCGTGACACCTCTGCCTTGTGACCTCTGCTTGAATTACATACTGTATTTGATTAACCTTGAATAAATGGAAGTGGAACTTTATTTCCGGTTTAAAATACTTACAACTTGAATACTGCGTCAGTTTGGTTTAAATTTTAAACTGTGTCGGTTTGGTTTAAATTTTAAAAAGGTATAAGATATTATTCTCTTGATTCTCTTAAATTTTGAGTGTTTTCTGATGAACGGGAGTAGTACTTTAGGCTATTTCTGAAAAAAAAGGATTGGGGGATCTAATCCTACCTAGCACACCAACCCAAAAACCTTGCTACTGTGTTAAGCATTTCTTTCAGACATCCCCCTCCCCCTCCCCCCTTACACAAGGGCAAAATAGCTGGGGAAATATCACTGTCACTATAAATATGTAGCTTAGGTAAGGGCTAAAGATATGTTCTGGCTCTGCATATAACTTTCTTTACTGCTTTGATCAGTTAGTTTAATGCACAATAAAGATCCACACTTATTTAAACATTACATTTTATCAAGCCACCAGCCTAATGTACAACAGAACATCATAAATATTGTGGTGAAGTATTTTTTTATTTTCTAAACAATGCCATGGGTTGTAAATTGTTCAACAATAAATAAATATTTTTACAAAACCATAATTCATTTACTATTGATATTTTCAGGAATGTTACACTGTTAAGTTTAGATAAAATATTTTAAGCTCTTTTGTCTAACAATAAAGATGTTACTGTATAAAATTTATGTTTAACTGCTATTCTTTTCATGTTTTTAAATTTATTTCTTTAAAGTCAGTTTTATAATGATGATTTAATTCAATTGTAAACAAAGATGAAACCAGAAAAAAAATGTCACTTATTCATTACAGTTAGACTCTTATTGCCACTGAAAAAAATTGGAATAACTAGTAAAATAATGACTAGAAAGTATTTGAGAACAAAAATTTCAAAATAAATATTGGGCACCCTTTGTTTTCTAGAAAAATCTAGAAAGGCCTCCTGTTGAAAATTACTGTACATTTTTCACACTTATTTATAAACTTTACATTATAAGTGTATTTATATTTCTTGGTAAAGGTCAGTTTATCATACTGACCCAGGTTAAAGGTTTAAGGTCAGTTTAATATTTTTTTAAAGTGAAACTGACAGATTTATATTAAAAGTGAATCTATTGAATCTTTCCTGTTGAGTGTCTTCTCATCAAACTGACCCATGTTTAAGTTCTCAAGGTCACAAAATCTGGAATCCATTGTGACATTTAGGCCAGTGTCATGGTCATAAGCGCTGTGCACTGCTCCAGGCCACTGTAGTTTAAGTAGGTTTGGGGTCATCACAAGACCACCTGAGCTCCCTGGGCAAGTGGCGGCATCATAGTACTTTATTACTCTAGTCACTTCATATTCTTCTTTCACAACATGGCCAAAAGTGATGGATTTGGACTTGCCATGTGGATGGGAGATCACTGCCACCCAACTTTTGTTATTGCTACTTCTCTCCCTTGCTTGGAATTTGTGAGTGCTGAGAACCATCTGATTGTAACTAGATTTAACATTTCTCAAACAAATCCCCACTGTATCGAATAACTTCTTCTCATGCGACATGACATGCAGAGTTATGTGATCTTGGGAGTTGTTGACTCCGACAATGGAAGTTACATGCCCTTTGATGACAAACTTTTCATCCGGGGTGTCGAAGAAAAATTTCACATGGGCATTGTCCGCTTCTGATTTATCAAAGATGACGTGTTTGTTTGTTCGAATACAAACTCCACCATAAATGTTGTGCTTAGATGCCCCAACACTGCTGTTACTGGACAAGCTGGAACTGCTGGTGCTGCTGATGCTGCGTGATAAACTCATCACAGACGTGCTGTCCTCGCTCTGATCCTCCAAATGAAAACCCTCCACGCAGTCTTCCCTCTTGCACCTCAATGCCATGATAGTGTCGTCCACAGAAGCTATGAAACCAGACCCATTCCGCTTCAAGCTGGTACCAATGTAGCTGCTGTACATGTCGTGTGCCCCGCGGGCGGCACTCGTGTGGTTGACGCTGATCTGAACCACGAGGTTGGCGGCGCAGGTGAAGAAGGTCAGGCTATCCTCGTGCTGAATCTCATATGGGAGGTCTTTCACCTTTAAAAAAATATATAAAGATCATCTTTTTGAAAATAATGTTGTGCAAAATTTTGTTTTGGAAATGAGCACGGTAATTTACTTTAATGTCAAAAAAATGTGTACAAGAATTTGTCTTGAAAATGTGCTAGGTAATTTTACTCAGGACCATTATAGCAAACCATAAATATGATAGTAGGCTGCATTTTTAAATACTTCAAATCCTTAACTTTATGACAAACAAACAAAAATACAAAATACAACCAAGGAAATATCGATTTAAATAGGGTAAAGGTTAAGTTAAAATATGATTTTAATTTGAAAAAAAAACACATCCATAATAAATTATATTCAAAAATAGAGAAGGATTATGTATGATACTTACTTGCATTTTTTGTGGAGAGAAGAAAGCCACGTGGTCTGGGTTTTTCTTGCATTTGGTGTACTCAGCAAGGTCAGTGTTGACTTCAAACAGCTGATCATGTTTGTGAGATATTTCTACTGCCTTGCTGTAAAGCTCTGCTGTCTTCTCTATTTTAGTATTGGACTTATCTAGTGTGTCGCTGGAACTCACACTATCAGAAAGTAACTTGGTGTTGATGTTTCTAGCCCTTACTGCATCTAAATGATATGAAACTACTTGGTTGTCTTTGCTATCTACCACAGTTATTTGATCAGGTTTATTCAACAATACACAACAATGGTTTGTGTTATCATTTTGGGAGTCAATGTCATCAATGTTGTTGTTGCTGGAGGAAGGTTTGGTGGGACTAGGCTGCTGCCAGTTGTCTGGTAGATCGCAAGTATTGAATGAATCAAGCTGAGTGGTGCTGCACTGGTGTATGATGTCCCCAAGGCTACCCAAACCATCAGTGAACATCACTGACGTCACTGGTGTCACTGACGTCACTGGTGACTCTGCGGGAGAGATGGAGATGGGGGAGTCAAGTGATGACAGAGATGTCGGCTCCCTGTAGGACGTTGGCTCTGTGTTGGACAGCTTTCTTGACTTGCTCCTGGACAAAGAACTGTCTGCGCTGTCATCGTTTAGTGGTGGCTCCTCCTCTGTCATCATTCTCTTCAGCTTTTCTTTAAAGTGATTCATCTTCTCAAGCTTACACGACCAGTTTAGGGTACAGAAGATACTTCTGTTGAGAGAATCAAAACCACCATTAGCATTAGGGTACAGAAGATACTTCTGTTGAGAAAATCAAAACCACCATTAGCATTAGGGTACAGAAGATACTTCTGTTGAGAGAATCAAAACCACCATTAGCATTAGGGTATAGAATCTACTTTTTGAGAGAATCAAAAACCACCATAAGAATTAGGATACAGAAGATACTTCTGTTGAAAGAATCAAAACCCCCATTAGCATTAGGGTACAGAATATACTTCTGTTGAGGGAGTAAAAAATTAAAAACACAATTCGGACAGCTTAACTAATTATTTTACATTTTTATTTACAATGTACATTAAAGATTTAGATCTGTTTTTTACAAAATGGCATTAAGAAAAAGCAATTATTTTATTAAGATCAGAAAAAATAAGTGCAGCTTTACTTCAAAATGTATATTTTATAATGAACTTTAAATCACAATAACTATATTAAGTGTTTGGTTACATTTTTAAAGAAAAATATTTACTATTTGTCTACAAATGCAGCTTACTCAGGAATGTGTACAGAAAATGTTTCAACGATTATTTCCCCTACCCGGAATTGAACCATTTGGCTACACAAAGAGTTCGTAGTTTATTTATTTTTAATTGAAAATCAAAACATTTAGGCCTACGTGTGCAAACGTGCTATAACATTCCTGTAGCATATAACCAACATTTAATTTCTGGTATACTGACAAAATACTGACTAAAATCGAAATACTTTTGTAGCTAAGTGGGGTAAGAGAACTAAGACGTAAAAAAAGCAAGTAGTTGAGCAATACACGAGCGATGTATGATGGTACTGTATATACTGAACAAACGTGTAAAAACAAAACACAAGACGGGACGAAATTACCTGAGTTTAATACAACAGAGATACTGTGTAAAATCCTTCATGTTTACTTCCCTCCTATCACTACATCATCTGCTGATTTGGGCACATTCCGTCCGAGCTGGCAAACACATTCTGGGGATACACACAACACGAAAAACCCCATCAGCTATATTTAGATACCCGGAACGTTGTGTGAATCCGGGATTTTTAACAGTTAAATTCAGTGGGTGTTCGTCCTGTTTCGAGTATTGTAACGTGAGGGGCGGTATTTTTTTTCCAGCACGTCACTGTCACATAGCTGTTAGAAATACATTGACGCTATCAGGGTTATTCGAGGAGTCCCGTACGTTAGGTAGCTGGGATGTGTCACACACAGGAGGTGTAGATAGGTCAGATAGTGACGTCACACTTTTCCATTTTAAAACAGTAAAGATTGGGTTAGGAACTGAAATTTCGACGTTTCTCTATGATGATCGAGCCCAGCCAATATTTTAGAAGGAAAAAAATCGATGTTTAAAAAAAAAAATAATAATAATAAATAAACTGCAATATTTTGAGGGGGGGGGGGGGGGGAGGCGTTGTAGGTTGAAGTCTGAGGTCTAGTTTTTTGTGACGATGGGGAGGGAGATAGGTATATGGATGGCCCAAAAGGGTAAAGCACCCTTTTGGACCCTTGCAGTTCATGGGGCAGGTGTGAGTATATGGGGCAGGTGTGAGTACAGTATAGATCACCTGTTTCAGTGCGTTAGACAAATCAATGCATGGTGTGGCCAGCACTATACCCAGGGACGTCCTAAAGACTAGGGATCCGAAATCGAGACTTTCGGGTAGTAGTCGAACGCTACCATTAGATCACGGTGCATCTTATAATTTATTATATAACACAAAGATAAGCCATTTTCACCCAATTCCCCCCACCACCACCTGCTCTAATTTTCCAGATATCAAAACCAAATGCTTAACACAATTTCTATCAAACTACTGTGTTATGTGACGCTGATCTCTCCCCCCCCCCCCCCCAGCTTCTACTCCTTGCGTCCCACTGAAACAAAATAATAAACCACCATATTACCTACTTTTGTTACATAATATGTGCACGGCCCTTATGGTGTACAATTTTATTTTTTTAAAAAGCAATTAGAATTGAGTTGTATTGTTGTATTGTTAGCAACGACAAGAAATATGGGTGGGGTTGGGTGCTGTACGCAATGAGAAGATATGTACACTTAAATCTATAAATTATTTTAGCAAGACGTTCACGATTTAAAGTTAAATATATAAACAATTTAGCAAGACATTCATTGATTCAAGATAAAAATACAAGATTAATATCAGTCACAATAAAGGGAAAGTACTCACTTTAATCATTCTAAAAACTACGTCAGTTTTTTCTTTATCTTCTATATATAGACAACTCCCTTTGTCCCGGACTAAAAGCACGTGTCACTATTTACTGTATGTATTGATAACATTTTCTGAAAGCTTATCTAGCGTATTAATATTAAACTATAGTTTCCAATGGGGAAACGTTTTTGTCTCCCCAAACCAAATATAAATGAGTGAGGGGAGATAATTGCAGAGTCCAGGTCGATATCTCATCATCTCGCCTGCCTTGCTGTTTAACGCATATCGAATCTAAGAGCGGGTTCAAGCTAGCTTCAAAGGTCGCTGGATCGAGCACCATACGGGTGTGCCGCTATTCAACCATCGTGGTGGGGGAACCAAGTCTAACCGAACCTCGCTACAACAACGCTACGGCATGGCACTGTGTCTTTATGGTAAACAATTCATTGCGGATACACAACTTCTGACATTGTTGCCTGGTTGTGCCAGGGGAAATTACTCTTAACAGAGGAAGGCGTTAGCTCGTAAGTTGTGGTTACGCTTATGAACTGTCGCTATGGGCAGATAAAGATCATGTACGATATTTACTACATTACCAACTATATATGGGGTGGGGTGTATGCGGTGCATAGGCCATACCAGATAATGAGATATATATGGGGGTGGGGTGTATGCGATACATAGGCCATACATTCCTAAGCTACATATCATATGAAGAACCACGCCGTTAAAGTGCTTGCATACTATAAAACCGGTTTTTAAATAACAGAGCACTCCAACCCTTCAAAGAATTCCCGAACTGATCAGGCAGTGTCAACATGTTGTTCATATATTAACTTAGTATAGGCATAGATTAGGCCTATAGTTCGGTGGCAAGGGCAGGGGGTTGGGAATAGTGACTTTATGAAACTTTTTTTTTCCCGAAAAAATATACACAGGGACACACAAAGAAAGCTAAAGGCCTATTTTATTTATACTTAGGGTCCTCCTAGTAAGAATCACGAGAACGCCAATGTTTATTCTCAGAAACTTGGAACATAACATTGGCCCTGATTTAAAGACGGTCTTATATACTACGCAGGTTGTATATAGAAATAAATGGGAAATTATTTTTTTTAAACAAAGTACATGGGCTCTGATGCCCCAAGTAACGGAGAACTTATATTCTATCGAGTTCTATATTGTTCACGAACAGAGGAGTTCAACCTAACAATATGGTATCATTCATGGACAACCTAAAGATGTAGGAATATGGAGCGGGGAGGAATGGAGGGGGGGGGTTCAAGTTTGCTTATTTAATTATGTATAAAGTTTTAAAGAACCTGAAATTGTTCATGTCATTCAAACTGTTTCTACTGAGTGGTAAAAGGAGCAAACTTGTAGGCCTAGGCATATAGAGTACTTTTGGAAACATAACCATGGATTTAAGATTGCATCTAACAAGGGAAGAAAGGTTACGGCTAAAGGACAGAAATGTAATAGTCATCTATTGCTTGCCTAAATTCATTTTTAAAAAAAAAAAGAAATTATATCATAATAAGTACGGCATTTAACTAAACCTGATAGTTTTTTTAAGCAAGAAGTTTTTGCACTTTATTTTTCCTCTGCCAACTTACTAAAGGTCAGAGAGAACTAAGAAGGCAGTTGGATGCTTTGGATAGTTATCGTTAAAAAACCATCCCCTCGCACTTTAGCCCAATCTCTTGCTCTAAGACAGGGGTCTCCAAACTACGGCCCGCGGGCCCAATGCGGCCCGCGAGGTCCTCTCATCCGGCCCGCGGAGATATTTTTGTCCAAGGAAAAATCGTTTGTTGGTGATGGCTGAGGAACTTTGCCCAAAAAAATCAAAGACACGCCTGGAAGAAACTGGCCCCCGAACTGAAATTTTGTAGTTAATGCGGCCCTCGGACTGAAAAGTTTGGAGACCCCTGCTCTAAGAGAGTCGTCTGAGCATGGGTGTTGTAAGCATGGATGTTGTAAGTACGGATGTTATAAGCATGGATGTTCTTCTTAGTATGGATGTTCTAAGCATGGATGGTCTAAGCATGGATGTTATAAACATGGATGTTGTAAGGATGGATGTTCTTCTAAGTATGGATGTTCTAAGCATGGATGGTCTTAGCATGGATGTTGTAAGCAAGGATGTTGTAAGGATGGATGTTCTTCTAAGTATGGATGTTCTAAGCATGGATGGTCTAAGCATGGATGTTGTAAGCAAGGATGTTGTAAACATAGATGTTCTAAGCATGATTGATCTGAGTATGGATGTTCTAAATATTGATGTTGTAAACATGGATGTTCTGAGCATGATTGTTGTAAGCATGGATGTTTAAGCACGGATGTTCAAATGTTAGGTCGCCCCGAAATGTATCTTCTCTAGCAAGACTTCTATCAGGTCCCGAGATAAATGTGTGCATTCCCCCCTCCCCCACTTCGGCTTTATCCGCCGCTGCTTACTGCCATGCATGCTGCTAATGATAATGTCGTTTGTTTTGGACGGCTTAGCTGAAGTAAAGATCGCCCCGGCTAATTAGCACGGCGTTAGGCTGAAATCGGTAGCAGCTTCTAATTTGGCCTAGACCGAGCCAGCCTACCACGGCCGATCAATCTAACTTAGTGTAGGTTTGAGCTGGCGGGTTACATTCGACTCGGGTCGCGTTCTATCTCCTAACGTCAGCGGTCCTGTATCCGCTCATAGAGTCACTAGACATATTCTATTCACTGGTGTAATACTCGACGAGTATTCGTACCTATATATATATATATATATATATATATATATATATATATATATATATATATATATATATATATATATATATATATATATATATATATATATATATATATATATATATATATATATTCTAAGGATGGAAATAAAATTACCGGCGACTCTCGATATAAAACTAATTGGGTACTGCTAATCGATAACAACATTGATACATTTTAATTGTTCTCATAATCTATTGGAGCCGCCTGAACTCAAATTTGACTAATTAAATATAGGCCAACTGTGTGTATATGAAAACATACACACACACACACACACAGATCAGAGGCGTAGCGACCCTTCCCGGCGCCCGGTGACAAACTTTTGATTTGCACCCCCCCCCCTCAAACTTTCGATTTGCACCCCCCTCAAACTTTTAATTTGTTTTTCCAACCCATTTTGGCGCCCTCTAAGGTCGGCGCCCGGGGACATATGTCCCCCCCCCCCCCCCACACACACACATCTGACACAGATATATATATATATTTATAATATATATATATATATATATATATATATATATATATATATATATATATATATATATATATATATATATATATATATATATATATATATGTCGGTACCCCTTTGTCTGCAAATAATTGGCTGGAGCCGCCTATAGCAGCAGAGCAGGGTATGTTATGGGGTTAAGATGTAATGTGGTAAAATGATTAAAGCGCTGCTGTGAGAAATGATGAGGTCGCGTTAACTAGATCTCCTCTATTTGACTAACCTACGTGTGGCCGCGAAAGATGAGCTGTGGGTGTTAACGTACGTGTGCGATGCTGAGGAACATGCATGGAGCTGGCGCGAACCGCGTAGCCGCTAAACACGTGGCAGGTGCGACCTTGTTGCGCAAGCTGGGCGGACGGGGTGTGTACGGCGGGGCCCCGTCAATTAACGGTGACATACAGAGAGAAATTGAAAAGTTCAAGAACGCGGCGGGTAGGTTCAGTCGAGGCAAACGACGAGTGAGGAAGGTATAATCACCGACATTATGTGTAAAATAAAAGCCAATTGAAGGGAAAGGCCAGTGGTGTAGAGCCGGCAGAGACAACAAAACCGATAGGACAATCTAATAACAGGACAATTAACATTTTAAATTAGCAGCTCAAGTTAGGTCAGCCATATCCTGTTCTTAGTAAAAAAAAACTTTTTTATTAAAGGGGTAGGTCGGGGAAAAAAAATTGCTCACTTAGATTGCTCACGGAGTCGGGGTATTTGTCCGATTTTTTTCTCTAGAGGGAAGGGGGTGGGGTGGTTGGACACTGGTTATAGTGTATAGGCCTATTTATTATTCAAATTACGGGCCTATATTTTTAAAATCTGTGCCCTGGGGGGGGGGGGGGGTGTCCCATAAAAACGATTTTGTGAACAGGGTGGGGAAGGGGAAGGTTTGGTACATTAGGACACGCAGGCGTTAAGTATAACAATATAAGTTAAAATAATAACACGTAATTTCAGTAAATGTATTTACAAAAGTACGAAGTGAACAACATTTTTAAAAAATGCTCGTTGGGTAATTACTGTTTATTTTTTGTTATAAACCAGCATTTTTTAAAATTATTTTTAAAGATACGTTTTTAAATGCACTGATAAAAAACGTGTATATAAGATATGAGCGAACAATGCTTTTACTTAATAAGCAAGCAATTTTGAAGATAAAGTGCATTTAAAAAGATTTTTTTTTTTCCTTTTTTTTTGGGGTATATTTGATTTTTAAAGGTCAATTTTTTTGAAGTTATAATACAATAAGGGCTTAAACTTTTTTTTTATTCCGTTCGATTTTAATGTGTGCTTACCAGTAGCTTGCGGCGACCTGAACTACTATCTGCCCCTTATTAATGTCTCTGATCTGCTATCAGGTGTTAAACCAACCATCCGTGACCTGCAGTTCCCCGCCGTTACAAGGCGATCGAGCATTGGCTTAAGCTTAATCCTGCTATCTCCCCTTAGGCTATTGGATTTAGTCATCTTTAATTTCATTAGATAATCTGGCGTTGGTTTAGGAGATGAATGTGGCGGTGAAGTTGAACGAAAGAAGAGCATGAGAAAATATAAGTTACATGATTTGTCACAGACAGAAATGAAGGTCAGAGAAAAGGACAAAGAGAAGGAAAGAGAGAGAAGGACATAGAGGAAAAAGAGAAGGACAGACAGAAGGACAGACAGAAGGACAGAGAGTAAAAAGGACATAGAGGAGAGAGAGAGAGAGAGAGAGCACAGACAGAAAGAGGTTGTTAACTAAATAAAACCTTATGCAATCAAAGCGTATAAGATATGTAAGCTATCTATAGTGTAAGCGAGAGATGAATGAAAAAATAGACAACCAATGGGGAGGGGGGGGGGGGGTTGTTCAGCGGACGGTAGCGATGGGGACATCAGAAAAGTGACAGCTACAATTTTACCACGTACATCTTTTTGGAGGTCACTGTCCCATCTCCGGATCACTGCCACCGCCCAATCGGACAAAATAGAAAAAAAAGTTAACCATTTAAATAACCCCCAGCCCCCCTCCCGCTATCGTTACAGAATAATGTATACGAAACGTGTGAGTGTCGTAATGAACTCATGGCCACTTAACCTTTCACCCCACTTTACCCCACGACACGCTGACATAAAAAAAAAAAAGTATAACGAAACAGTGTATCAACTCAAAGTATAGTTTTGCTGCTTGTTTTTTTTTTTTTTTTTTTTTTTTTTTTTTTAATAAAAATAAAAGTACTACTCCGTGTTTGGTCATTGTAATTTAAAACAAATGAAAACATTGGTGAAAAAAAAATTAGTTCAAGAAAATAGTTTAAACAGGGGTCATTAATTCATGACGTCACACGTCTGTGAGAAGACGGATTCGGCCTTATGTACTGGAAGCTGTGGTGGGGTGGGGGAGAAAATGTGACGTAGCATTTGTTTTTATATTTTAATGGTTAATTTTTATTTCTTTTTAAATTTAAAAGTTTGCGTGTGGGGAGGGGTGGTATTTAAAGAGGGGATGGCTTTAGTGAAGAGAGGACAGAGAAGAGTGGACGTTTAAAATCGGTTTAAAGCGTGACGTCATTAATATTAACAGACGACCAACTAAACCGATGTTTTGTCTCTTTACACTTTTTTTTTTTACAAGTTTTCACTTTGTTCACACAGTCTCATATTCGATTTTCCAAAATAATTCATTTCCGGAGAACACGCAAGAATATATTTTAATTAATTTTAAATGGAATTAGACATATATTAATTAAAATATCACTAAAATAAATACTAGATCTATATTCAATTACAACAAGGGAGATAACGTACTGGGAATAAGTCAATGGGCCAGCTGATCCGGGAGAACTGTTCATACATGTTTTTAGAACTGACCGCATTAAGTTGGTAAGGGGCAAGTATTTTTACTCATGTGATGTAATCGACGTTGTTAAAAAACGAACGGATTAGGAGGGTGGGGGGGGGGGGGATCCATAAATGACGTCACACTCGTAGGGGGATATGGGGTCCGTAATGTTATGTGTGCTGAAAGGAGGGAAGGGGGGGGGGGTCAGATAGTGTGAATTCACACTTGTGCGTTATAAAAAGTAATGTTAGAAAACAAATTTCACGTTTTTGAAAGCTTTATAAATTGTAATATGCTATTTTGTCGATCAAAGCCAAGATTTTAGAAGGGAAAAAAAATCGATGTTTAAAATAAAAACAATTTTGATGGGGGCGGGTGGGGGGAGAGGGTTGTAGGCTAAGGTGTGACGTCATTTGGGTGGGGGGAGGTCTGTTTTTTATGACAATGTGTGGCGGAGGTGAGGGAAGGGTAAAAATCGTTAAATAAGCTTGACGTCATTTAGGCCTTAGAGTTAGAATAAATAAATAAAATATGGTAGGCCTACGCCCTACTAAATCTAACTAATTACTTATTTATTGTTCTTAAAAAAACTGAAATATCAATTTACAAATTTTAATTTTGAAACATTAACTAACAGTTTAATTAATGTTTATTTGATAGAGTTCATAGAATAGAGTGACAAAAATTCGGTTGTCAAAGTTAGTTTAAAATTAGCTAGACTATTTAGAACTAGTGGGGTCTAGATCTAGATCCCTCCTACTCCTATTATTAATTTAATTATTCAGTATTCATCATTAATAAATAAATAATAATCAATCAATTATCAATCAATGAACAAATTGGGCCTAGGCCTATGGCTGCATTAAAATGATTAAAGCATTTTTAATAGAAAAATGCTGCCAACATACATTTTTAGATCTAGAATAGTAATTAATCTCAATCTAGATCTAGACCATATACTAGATAACTATAGAGATTCTTTTATTCTAGATAGAATCTAGATTCTAGTTCTAACTAATCTTATAATTTTATATAGATCTAGATTTTAGACTCGAGAAAGAAATTCAAAAATTAAACCTTTATCATCAAGTTTGTTTTTATAGTTGCGTCCCTTGCGGATTTCACTGCCACGTATCCTGAATCACGCATGCGTCTTTGGAATTGCTTCCGGAAACATTTCGTGTCCATAAATGCATTCATTGTGAAAAAAGAAAATGCTTTTGGATAGCTACAATGAATAAATATATTTCACTCCGATATATTTTTAATAACAAACTAATCGTATTAACTTAAGGATTTGATGTACTATACATAATTAGTTAGTTTGTAACTGTTGGGTATGGCTGACCGCACAAACCCATCTCCTGTGATCCCAAACCCAGCATCGGCGCAGCCTCCCCCGCCTATGTTTTTCTCACCTCAGGCTCATAGCAATATGGCACAAACAGGTAGGTTTTACCACTCAATACATACACGAAGTCTCTTTTCATAAAACGTGTGGTTTCTCAAAGCAGGGCACTTAATTATGACTAATGTAGATTAGTTACCACATCATTTATTGACATTTAAGCTTGGGTGGATCTTCAACTTGTGATCTTCCAAAATTGGCTAATTTTTATTATTGCAAAGAAGGGCAAGCTGCCACTAATAACCTAAAGTTTACTAAACTCTGAAATCACTAAATTACTTTTTTCACTGAACCTGGTGAGAACAGAGCTAGATCTAATAACTTAAGCTAACACTAACCTTTCAAATTAAATTCAATTATTCTAGATTAGATCTAACAAAATTACTAAAGCTAAATCTTTACGATTCTTTAGGCCTCTATCTTCTAGGCTAGGCCTACATGAAAAAATAAGAGTTTTCTTACCTTACATCCAAAAACTTGGACCAAATTTATTAAGCCCGTAGTTGGCCTAAGATGACACTAAGATCCTAAGAAGATTTAGAATGTTAGGCTTCTTCTAGCAAGATTCTACATCTCTGTTATTGAGTGTAATTGACAAATCTCATTTAACATGCATCAAAGAAATAGCAATGTTTTTTAATGTAGAAAATAGGCCTCCTTAGCCTTAGGGTTATTTAAATCTTCTTATAATTATATTAACCATAGCCTGGTCTTTTTAATAGTAATTACTTATTAGGACATACCAGGCCTATAGATTATTATTAGGCCTCTATGGTCTCACTCATAGTATTAACCAGTAGGGTGATTTCTTTTTAAGAAGAGAAGGGTTGATAATGCTTGTTTGATGACTTAGTAAAGAGGAATTGACATAAAATAAAAATCAACTAGCCCATGTAACTTAATAGCTGATTCTGTTGTGTGGGATAATTTTTATAGGCCTAATAAAAGATTAAGTGGACTAAAAACACAAACCTAGCTTTAAAAACTTGCTTAATTGACAAATTTTTTTAAAAAGGAACAAACAATACTCAAGGGGCCTATAATTCCACTATTATTACTTTTATTGTTTGGACTTCAATATTGCTTATTCTTTGTAAGTTGTTTAACTTTGAATGGTAATTTAGCTCAAGGGCAGTGCATTATTGTTGTAAAAAATGAATATTGGATAATTCATCTACATTTGATTCAACAGTTAATTTTTCTATTTCCAGGTCAACTGAAAAATCCTGCACCATTACCCAATGGGCCTTTTGTTCCTCCTGTTGGAAACTTTCAACCTGGTAACCAGGGCTCACAGCCTGGTGTGTGGAGCGGTGGTCAAGCACCTTCACCATCTAACGTTAATGGATTCAATCCTTCTGGTCATCCTCAGACATTTTTACCACCCTCTACTTTAAATACAGCTGGTTTTCCTCCTCCAGTTAGCAGTGGTCAACCTTTAATGAGCAGCGCACCTGTGAGGCCAATAGGACAGCAGCCTCCTCTACCTCCCTCTGTACCCTTTTCTGGTCCACAGTTAAATGGACCAGGTAATTTAAACACTAGGCCACCACTGTCTGCTAATTTTCAACAACCTGCAATAGGACAGAGGCCACCTATTTTTCAAGGAGTAACTCCAAACCAGACCCAAAAAACATTAAACTATGGTGCTCCTCCATCAACAACATTTAGGCCTCCAGCACCTTCAATAAGTGGAGTGAATCCAGCTTCTGGTGATGTCATACAAAGTAAGAAAAATATTTGAAGAATTGCAGTGTTTTAACAATATTGCTTTTACTTGATAAGTACTTAAAAGCAAAACAATGTTAATCTGTCATGTTAAACAAAACAGGTAGATACAAATATTTAACAAACCAATAGGCCTACATACATTTAAATAAATTTACCTTTCACCAAATATGAATAGAAGCTGGTCATGCCTGCTTTGTTTGTTGCAATCTTTTTATTAGTGTGCAGACAGTTTGATCACTAACCTGAACCTTTGGACCCATTTTTTAAATTTGCTTTGGTTAGGTTTAAATTTTGCATATTTGTGTACTACTGAAAATCATTTCATTTATACTTCTGGCAAGCTGTTAATAGTAATGTGCTAGTCACACATTTCCCTCTGTGGTCATGAAAAGAATGGACTGTTGTTTTATCTATGTGTAATTAAGTTAAAAAAAAGTTTTAAATGCTCTCTCATATATGTTTCATCTTAAAACAGCAAGTATAACTATTTTTTATCACCTTTTTTTTTAGTGAAATCTAAATATGCTGCTTCTGATGTACTAATTGTCATTAATCTAAGTTTAAAACCTTCACCAGACTTAAAACAATGGCAATTTTAAAACCATCTACATTGCAATGATTTTCTTTTGATGATTTCACTTACTATTTTTTATTTTTAAAATGTTGTTTAAAAGGGTGTTTTGCATGAATACAAATAAACTATCATGTTAGGAAATTAAATTCTGAAAAGTTCATCTAACACTTAGCTTTAATTAACTAATAGAATTTTTAAAAAATATTTAGCTTAATTAAATCAAAATTATACCATACTTTAGATGAAACAATTTTGCAATACACTATTTAAAAATCGGTATAATTTTTTAACAATTTAAAAAAAAATTATTACAAAGCAATCTACTTAAACTTTTTAAAAAAAATATTTTAATTTTTGCTTCATCTTTTAAAAACTATTTTTTGTCAAATATTTGGTGTGCAGCAGTAATTAGACATTTGTTTTAGCTTGTATGTATCCATGTCTTATAACTAACTATTAATCTTAAATACCTTTTCTAAGCCTGTCTAAAATTATCTGTAAGTAAAGTGAATAGTAAAGAAACAATTATTCCCAACAGGTCGACCAAATGAACTGCCAGTACCTTTTCATGGACAAGGTCAATATTCACATCAAGTTAATCCTCTTTTGCAAAAAACTCCCACTCCTACTCCCAGTAATTCAGGTAATTGATGCAGCAATAGTTAATGGCGTGCAGTTGACAGATACTTTCAACTCTAATAGTTAAATTGTTAGTTGTGGGTTCATAATTTTTGTAAATTATAAATCTTCAAAATATTTTTTTATAAATAAATGGTATCTTTTTTGATTAACTGATAAATATAATTTTCATTCATCATCACTTTTTATTACTAATTTTTTGACTCAGTAACTGTTTGCTAAAAACCAACCACATCTATAATTTGCATGGTAATAATTGATTTGCATGTTGTTGATTATTTTTTATTTATTTTTTTACATTTTTTTTGTCTTATTAAATATTGTCTCCCCCCTTTACACACAATTTTTGGCACCATTTTTTTGTACTTAAATTATTTTTGAAACTGGAGTGACTCCTTAAACAACCTATTTAAGCTATTTTTCACCATGTTTTTTCTTCTCCATATTTAATTGCCTATATTTAATGTTGTGTAATGTATTCTTGCTGTTGTTTCATCTTCAGAGCCTCCATCAGAGAGATCCTCTAGGGGCCCATCACCAGTCTCAGGTCACACTATAGATGCTTTAGAGGGTCAATTTTCACCTGGTCATGGTATGTTCATATTTGAAATGTTACCTTCCAAAGATTTTTTTTTTTATCATAACACGAATTACTTGAAAAGATGCAAACTCTAAACATATTTATGCTAGACTAAGGAACTCACTCAGTGTTGTTGTTTTTGAAGTTGGTGTAAATTGTTATAAAAATGTACCAATATCCTTTTTTTATTACAGGAGCTCCATCACCTGCTTTTCCAGGAAACCGAGGTAGTCCACAACCACCACAACAGTCATTTGTTGGTTCAGAAGGACAAATGCCTGGCACACCGCCAAAGTTAACTGGTGCAGTTCGACCTCCTTTGCAAAATCAGTTTCAACAGCAGCCCTGGTCTTCATCACAACAACAGCCAGGACCATACCCACAACCTGGGCAGTATCAGGCAAATTTACCTGGACAGAGACCTCCTCCCCCTCAGGGCTTTCCACCCCTACCTACACCAGGTCAACCTGTAGGATTTCCTCCATCTGCACAGCAACCCCGGTATCCTCCACCACCTGGTACTGCTTTACCTCCCCAAATCAATCCACCAGGATTTCCACCATCTAATACCAACACAGCTGCCTTTCCTCCTGCGATGCCCACAGTTCCCAGGTTTCAGCCTCCGCCAACTGTCGCTGGGGTGCCTCCACCTCCCTCTGCAGGGATGGCACAGCCAGGTATGCCTCCACCACCTACTGGTTCGTTTCAACCTCACCAGTTTAGGCCTGGCTTACCTCCAAGCACACCATATGGTGGTATGATGGTAAGTAAAAGAGTTTTATTTTTATTTAATTTTTTTAAAGTATACCTTTTGTTACACAAATGTATGTTTTGTTAACTGTTAATAGTTTCTAAAATAATAATTGTAATGTGAATCTGTAGAATCAGTCAACTCACCCCCCTCTGCCGAGTCAAGGAAGTTTTTCTCCTACACAGTTTGGTCTGCCGTCACAACAGCCGGGTGTTCCAGGATATGATGGCATTAACTCTGTCACACAAGGAATGGGACAGATGGGCTTTCAAGTAAGAAAAATATTAATTAGGTTTAGTATTGTGCACAATTTTCAGTTTAGGTGAGATTTTGTTGGGTAAAATCCACCCAAAAAAGTAACAAATTATAATTTACATTACAAAGAAAATACTTGTAATTGAATAATGAACAACTGACTTCCCAACTAGTTTTTTTTTTATTTGCTGTTTTTGATAGATTATTAAATGTTGTATATACTTCTAAATTTAAAGTTATATTGTCTTCTATTTAGGATACCGCTCGGGCCATAAATCTTTTAACGGAGAGACAGTTGATTTTACCAGATGGCTTAGAAACTCCAAAAGCTGTCCTTCCAAATGATCATAAAAAAGTAAACTGCAGCCCAGAGTAAGTTTATTTTTTAAATTTTCCAGCTCTTTTATAAACTACTTGATTTGTGTTTTGTTTTAAAGAACTTGAAATTTGTTAAACTATTAATTGTTTTTTTTTTATATTTAAAAAAAAAAATTCATAAATAGGATTAAAGCTCCAAAATGGAGGCTTTTATTATTACCATTTTAATAATTTTCTAATAATCATCATGACTTTTTTTATTCCAGTATATTTAGATGTACACTTAATGCCATCCCACAAAATGCAGCATTGCTCAGTAAAGCACGGCTACCCCTTGGTGTCCTAATTCATCCATTTAGAGATTTATCTGTGAGTTTTATCTCTTTATGCATTATTTAATCAACATTCTCAGTTAGTTAAAAAGTGCATGTTAGTAAAGCTTGTAAAGGCTCAAATTACTAATAAAATTTTACACAGGGCCTGCAGGTGTAACTATTTTGTTTTTAAAATCTAATTGCAAATCAAACTGAAATAATTATCACATACCTGATTACAGTTTGACCATGGTTTTTTTAAAGACAGTTATAGTTCCATTTTCTTCCTTTTGTATTATTAATTATCAATGCAGCCTAAAAAACAGCACAGAAATGTAGTTTTATTATAAAATATAATGGTACCAAAATACTTTCAAAATTGCCTTGAATTAGATCTATGGGAATATTACTGGTTATACTATTCAACTCAAAGTTATAAATCAAGTAATATCTAGCATTTCTTATGTAGCCTACATAGTTTACTTACACACATTTTGTTATGTAACAAGAGCAGAAACAACACAACTAAAAAGATTTATCTCTGAAAATCAATTTTAACAGACTTATTGAAGAAAAAGTGTTTAAAAAAATAGTCATCTCTAAAATAACCTGATACTCGTGTATAGATATTTTAGTATCAACCACTGGTAAATTATTTTCAGGAAGAAACAGATAGAGTAAGTAGTTTGATTCCTATATCCTCATAACCTTTTGCTCCATAATAGTCACATTCAGTTTTTTAGTTGGTACTTGTCTTCAACTGGTAAATGGACATTCATTTCTATATAAATACCACTAAATTAAAAAATTGGCATTTGTGCATCTATTCAGATAGACTTGGTTGTAGTTTGAAATAAATGCTACTCCGAGATAGACTTGGTGGTAGTTTGAAATAAATGCTACTCCGTACAGAAGTATTTTATTTATAGAGAGCTATTCTGTGCTTGGAGTTGGTTAAAACTATTTAGGGTAATGGGATCAGTAAGGGGAGTTGCTACTCTCTTTAGCCTTAAGCTAGCAATGTTCTTTTCATTCACTTTTTATATTCATATGCTGGCTGTTTTTTTTTTTTTTCAACTATACATTGCATTGTAGTTTTAAATATTTTTTTTCTTTTTTTTGATATGTATAAATTTTAATTTCTACACAAATTAGAAAAGTGAAGAGATGTAGGCTACACAGATAACCTAACAAACAATTGTTGGGAGGATTCTTTAACTTATTAACTGCTTGAACATTATACATGAATTTTGTTTTGAAAATGCAGTATCATTAACAGACAGAACTGAACACCTAATATTCTTTTTTTTTAAATGTCAACTTTTCTTTTTCTCTTCATCAGCAACTCCCTGTTATTCAGTCAAGTGTAATTGTCAGGTGTCGATCCTGCAGAACATATATTAATCCATTTGTTGTTTTTGTTGACCAAAGAAGATGGAAATGTAACTTGTGCTTTAGAATCAATGATTGTAAGTTTTTTTCCTTCTTAAACTGTTATTATTATCTGTAATATATTATATCTAGAATTGGAAGTGGAGCTAAAGTAATAAATTTTAAAATATAAAGATGTTTAAAAAATAAAATTATGTTTACATTTCAGTACCTGATGAATTTTCATTTGATCCTGTGAGCAAAACATATGGTGATCCTCAGAGGAGACCTGAGGTCAAATCTGCAACAATAGAATTCATCGCTCCTTCAGAATATATGGTAAATATGGTTTTTAGTCATGTTATTTGCTACTGTTTTTTTTTAGAACCCAACACAGCATCATCATTTTTCCTTTTTGACTCTGGAGCATTGGACCATGTCAAAGTTTTCCACTCTTCTTGGCCTCCTGCTGAATCCAATTCTTGCTATCCATGCTGCCTGGGACTTCAGTATACTTTGATTTCAAAGCATATTTAGCTAAAGGGGACGACGTGGCCTAGCTGTAGCGTGCTAACCCGAAAGTCTTGAGTTCCAATCAGGGTTGAATATACTAGACCGTTCCTGAGTAAACTCAGCTCAGATGGGTACCAAACTCACATTAGGGAAAACAAAGGCATACTGCTAACCATAGTATTCCTTAATTTGCCATGTTCCCTGAAACAGATTAACTCAACTTCATCTGCCCTTGTGTCTTGGGCACTAACGGGAAAAGATGATGATATTTATGCTGAACAATTATGTAAGGCTTTTAAAAGCCATTATATGTTAACTACTACCAATTGAGATTTTAATCAGTTATAAAAGGCACCATTAATTGTGGCTGCTTCTTTCATTTCACAGTTGAGACCACCTCAGCCTGCAGTTTATCTTTATTTACTTGATGTGTCTTTCAATGCTGTAAAAACTGGTAAGTTATCATTCATTTCACTCTTATTGCACTATTGTGCTTTATTGTTCATATCTTGAACATGTTTACACTATTAAAACTAACTCTTTTATAACCTTATGAGAGAACATCTCTCATAATCCAGATCTTTAACTATTATCAGCTGTGAAATGTAAATTGTCCATTTTATTAATTTTCAATGAAAATTTCTAATTTAGTTGAATTTGTTTCACAGGTTATCTCTCCCAGTTTTGTCAAATTTTGATCGATGAACTGGACAAGCTTCCTGGCGATGCACGCACAACTATTGGCTTTTTATGCTATGACAAAGCTCTTTACTATTTTAATCTAGCTGAAGGCTTATCTCAGCCACAGATGTTGTGTGTCCCTGATTTGGAAGGTGATTATTACTGATTAATTAAAATAACCAGTAACCTTAAGATAATTGGAATAACTCAAGCTCATGTGCTTCATGATAAATAGACGGTTTGGCCTTCTCATGCATGACCACTTTTGGTTCTGCTTCACCAATTCCCAAAAAAAAAGAAAATTAGTAGCAACTTCATTTTGAGGTTTTTTTTGTTGTGTTCATAAAAGTTTGACTTATATTTTCAGATCCTTTTTTGCCCTGCCCAGACAACCTACTAGTCAACTTAAATGAGAGTAAAGAATTAGTGATTGATCTGCTCAACCAGTTGCCTAACCTTTTTGACTCCAACTATGAGACAGGCAGTGCCTTAGGAGCAGCGCTGCAATCTGCACATAAACTTATGGTCATTAATTGTTTTTATTTATATTATAAAATATCTGTATTTAATAGCTGCATTAATTATTATGTAAAATTTATTAGAATATTGAAGTATTTAAATTGACACTAATAAACCTTTGCGTTTTACAGAGTGCTACTGGTGGTAGGATAACAGTGATGCAGACATGCTTGCCCACGGTTGGACCGGGCGCTTTAGAAAACAGAGATGCTGCTAGCACTGCTGGAAAGGTGAGGCTTACATGTTTTATCCTCTATATATTTGAACTGTAATATTGAATGTTTCCTTAACCTAATAGACTTTTTTTAAATTTATCACAGAATGTAACCAATATTGGGCCAGCCACTGACTTCTATAAAAAACTTTCCTTGGATTGTTCAGCACAGCAGATAGCTGTAGATTTGTTTATGTTGAATGGTCAATATGCAGATATAGCAACCTTGTGTATGTTATTATTTTTTATATAATACCTTTAAATTGACATATAAGAAATTGTTAATGTTTTGTTTGTTTTTTCTATAAAATATATTTATATTTTTTGTTTTGAGAAATTTAAATTTAGAATATTTTTATTACTTCATATAGATATAAAAATCTCTTATTATAATAATGAATAAAAACAAATTTGATCATCAGCTTGCATCTCCAAGTATTCAGCAGGATGTATCTACTACTACCCTTCATTTCATTCTGTTAAAAATCCTGGACTTGTTGACAAATTTGATACTGATCTCAGACGCTACTTAACTAGGAAGATAGGATTTGAATCTGTCATGAGAATTAGATGCACAAGAGGTAAGTTGTGTTTTGGATTCTATTATTAAAAACAACTTAAAAGTAATAAACATGTTCATACTCCTACGTTAGTAATCAATGTTTTTTCCTAACTTGTTAGTTTTTCATAAATTACAAAAAATTACTTACATCATTACTCAAATTTTTAAATTATGCTAATTCAACAGTATAGAAATTTCTATTAATTTCAGTGTTTTTAGTTGAAATGCATAAATGGTGCAATACACAAAGAAAAACGTTCCTGGTGCAAATGCTATTCACTTTTTAAACCATGTAGATCTAGTCTGCAAAAACATAAACTTTTTTTTTTTTCACAGGTCTGAGCATCCACACTTTCCATGGCAACTTCTTTGTTAGGTCAACTGATCTTCTTTCCTTACCCAACATCAATCCTGATGCTGGATTTGGAATGCAAGTATCAATAGATGATAATCTTCAGGAGTCTAGTTCTGTTAGCTTCCAAGCTGCATTACTCTACACTTCTAGCAAAGGTAAATAATTGCAAAGTTTTTACTCAATAAATAGGCATTAATTTCACATAATGGTTATAGAGTATTTTCTGTTTCTCATGCACATTTTCTTTTCTTATTAAATAATATAAATCTAAAAATATTGTTAGATTATAGTTTAACTAGCCATAAGAGAAATTATCTAAGTTTTAATTTGTGTTTGAATATGTTTTAGGAGAGCGTAGAATTCGAGTGCATACTCTTTGTGTACCTGTTACTAATCAGCTGAGTGAAGTTTTTGTTAGCGCAGACCAACAAGCGATTGCTTCCTTACTATCTAAAATGGGTGAGCTTCTTTTTTTTTACTCTCACAAATTGCCATAACTTTATTTTCTATTAATAACAACAACAAAATTTGAACATTTTTTAATGCTTTTATGCAGCTGTTGATAGGTCATTAAGTTCTGCCATCACTGATGCAAGAGATGCCATGATGAATGCATCACTTGATGCATTGTTAGCCTATGCTCAGCAGATACCAGCCACACAGAGAGTTGGTGCTCTATTGGCACCTCAGTCACTTCGTTTGATGCCCATGTTTATGTTGGCCATGTTAAAAAGTGTAAGTTTTTAATATCTTTGTTAGTGATGTTTGCAATATAAATAAGCTGTTTTAAACTGATATGGGTTGACGTGGTCGAGTCGGTAAAGCTTATGGTTGCTAAATCAAAAAGTCTTAAGCTGGGGATACAAACTGTTCTAGGAGAAACAACTCCAAAATCAAACAACTGCTGCCTTGTAGTTTGTTCTTGGTTAGACAAAGACTATATAAGCAAATCTAAAAAGAAAAACAGGCTGAAATCTCAGTGGTGCATAACAAGTTGACGTGTATGCTTAATTGTGTTGGAGGGACTCTCTTCCAACACTAAAATTAAGAAGGCGGAAGAAGAGCAAACTGTTTGATAAAGTTACAAAAATTAAATCTGCAAACAAATTTTTTAACAATTTTTCTAATAAATATTTTAACAAAATTATAAGTATTGTTGTGCCATACTTACTTCCTAGCTTGATATAAAAAAGCCTTTGATATGATTTTAAAATTCAGGTCCTGATCTAGATTATCCAATTAATTATTCCAGATTGCATTTAGTCTTGGTGGAAACATAAAGGTTGATGACCGTGTTTTTGCAATGCAGCAGTTTAAAGTGTTGCCCCTCTGCTATTTAATACAGAACTTGTACCCACATTTGTACCCTCTACACAAGCTGAATCTGGAGGTAACTTAGAAGAGCTGTCTTGCAAGAATTATATCGGTTTACTATTCTGGCATAATAATATTTTTACTTTGCTTAATAAGGCCAAATAAAAATGCTTTTACAAATATTATTAATAAATTATAATATATTATATATATTAAATTTTAAACAATAAATTTTATACAGGAAAATTTAAAGTGTGTAATAACTCCAGTGCAAATTACAAAGCACCTTAAGCTTGGTAACATTTTTTTACAATATGATACTTGTCATGCACACATTTATAATTGACTTTTGAAAATACAGAAACCAATAAAACGAGGCAATGAAGACATCCCTAGTGCACCACTGATACAGTTATCTTCAGCTAACATAGACAGAACTGGACTTTTCTTGATGGACACAGGAGAGGCCATGTACTTATTAGTGGGCAGTGGTGTTGGTGAAGAGATGTGTCAGAATGTTTTTGACAAACCCAACTTTATGTCTATACCTGATGGCATTGTAAGTAGTTTTTTTTTAAATGGTTCAGTTAGTTTTCTCAAATGATGTTCCTCAATTTTTCTTACTTTCAGTTTGTTTGTTTTGAAAATTACCATTAACATGAGAATGCTTATTTTCTTTACTTCAGATGGAGTTACCTGAGTTGGATAACCCAACATCAGACAACATAAGGAGCTTTATTAATTATTTGATGGACTCCAGACCCAATGGAGTTACTTTTCTTGTTATCAGGTTAGACAAATACAGTTTTACAACTCTTAGTTTTAGCTATTCCAGGTTATCTTTAAATTAATTTAAATACATTGTTTCATAACTTTGTTCATTGAAAAAGCTTTGAAATAAGTCACAATGTGTTTATTTAACTCTATATTTAAATAAGATTTTCTAATTGTTTTCCCAGGGATGACAGCAAGAACAGACACCTTTTTTTCCAGCACATGTTGGAAGATCGCACAGAAAACAGTATGTCTTACTATGAATTTTTGCAGTTTTTGCAAGGCAAAGCCAAAGGTTGATGTTTAGAATGTGCTCTTAGTTATCATCAATATTTGTAAATCTATTTAAATATCTGACCTAACAACTTGTTTAAGTATCACATAACTGTAACTGAACATTTTCATCAGGAAAGGCCATTTCTCTACTTTTACTGAACTTAAAAAAAAAAATCTAAAGTCATGAACATGTAAATACATTTTGACACATTCATTGTACAGCAGTCATATAGTTGTGTATTTGATTTATTTATTGTTTCCTTTTTTTTTTTCTTTATTTGTTTTAAACATTGTGATAACTTGTGTATGAACATATATATACATATATGTATATTGATTACGATTGAATGAGAGATCATAATAAAAGCCATTGATGCTTATAATGACAATGTTACTAGTATCTTGCATGCCCTGGATTAGATATTTTTATAAGTGTGATTTTATTGAACCTGGCTGTTTGAGGAGAAATTGAAATTTTTCTTTTTTTTTTTTTCAAATTATGAGGTTTGGAGGAAACAAATACACAAAATGATATGGTTGTGTTTAATATTTATCTTGATTGACTATAGTCAACTGCACTGTTTTCCTCAATATATCACCTTTTTGTTTCATAAATAATTTTTAGCTTAGTGGTTAAATTTTAAGCAGATTTTTAATTTCATTTCATCAGTTAAATCTAATTGCAAAAGTTGATTTTCAAATATTTATTATGAAACCTGATTCTTTAAAGATATTTTTTAAAGGTCTGCCAAATATTTATTTTAGACTTTACTTAATGTCTTGATTTTTTTCCTTTTCTTAACATTACACCCTACCAGCCCACCATTAACTCATACAACAATGAAAGTCATTTCACATTGCAATTGAATGGAGATTGCTGTGCTAGAGAAAGTTGTGTAAATATACTGAGTCAGTTAAGCATGAGAACGAACAATTTTAGTGTTGTATTTTTGCTGTTTAATCGTAGGGTATGTTTGTGTGTGGTCAAATATAACAGAATATTAAGTGCTACATACATTTTATTTTAAAAAGTTATTTCACAATACTTAGTCCATTTGTTTTTATTATTGAATGTTTGCAGTTTAGACAAAAACTTAAATATAAATGTTGACATTTTAAAAAATGTAGGCTGATGAAAATGGTTAATTTCAAAGTCATAGATTTGATGTCATAATTTCAACAGATTTGCTTCAATATTTAGCATAATTTTTCTTTTACAAATCCCCCTTTTATAAATTTCAGTATTTTGTTTTTAGTATTGCATATAACCAGTGGCATAAATTGTGACAGTATTAGTAAATCAGGAGGTGCTTCTGTTGGTGGGATGATAAATTCTGCAATATACTTCAGATAAATTTTGCAATAAATGTTACCATCTCTATTAGTGTTCTTTTTAATGTCTGATCTGTGCATATGTTCCCAACAAAATTTGTGATCTCTCACTATCTCTGATTTTATTTCTGGTGATGGTATAAGAACTTCATAGATATTTTTTTTAAAAACTAGATCTCTAGAATCATCATCCCACCCTGTCATTTTAGTGTATGCAGATACATATTGTTTCAAAGACACAGTAATGAAATGTAATATTAAACAAATGCTAGGTAAAAAGATGTATCACTCTGTATAGTAATATTCTTTCAAACTGCTATAAGCCAATGTTAATGTATGTGTGAATGAGTTTTTCTTCTGGTCATGAGGCTAACATATTGTCATTTAAATTGTTAACACTTGAATAAATGAGAGTAAAATAATGCATCCTTTTAATCGTTCATGTTAATACCATTATGAATCAGAGCCTAAGACATTTGAGGTATATTTTTAAGTTCAAGATTTGGTATCTTGTGCTTTAAAGCATGGGTGATTTCACCACAAAATGAATCCTAGGGGAACTGAATCAATGTAGAGATTTTGGTTAATAGTGTCACAAACACATTCAGCCACTCCCAAACATACTTTAGTGAACAAGAACTATTGTAAAAATAAGCATTTTATTGTGCAGTAAAAAAAGAAAAATTCAAATTCTTTTAAACACTACATCTTCTTTAGAAGTAACACACTGTAATTCAACTTTGATAGGACATTTCAACCAATGTGACAACAGCTCTTCTGTATACCCTTGCAAAAAGTAAATCTGTCTCGGTATAACATGTTCCATCGAAGCAATAAATGCAAGGATTATCATATTGTGCCGTCTTTTAATTATGACCTCTGATACTAAAGATCCATGCCATGTACCATACATAAATTTTCTAATAATTAGATCCTCAAAAGTTGTTTCAGCTATCCTATTTCTTTCATTGTGCAAATTACCTGTTAAAAAAAAAATGGATGGATTTTAAATAATGTTTACTGAAACTAAAACAGATTTGATACACCATTCTATGTTGGTACTTCAAAAAGAAAATTTACAAAGTTTATGGGTTTACTTACTTGTATTCCATGACAGCCAACCTTTCCTGTCAAAAATGTAATGAGGCGCTTGAGCTTCTTCATATGTAAGTGGCAATGTCCTAAAAGGTGTGCCTTTAGGAATTCCAGCCTTTATGTTCTTGCACAAACATGGAGATGTGGAAAGTGATCTAATGGCCACATATGTTGCTACTGGTGCATTAGTTTTCCACAACTAGTTGGAAAATAAAATCAACTAATTATTTTAAATTATTAATTTGAAGAACCATCACAAACAACAGCTAGAAGTAACTTCTCTAAAAAAATATGGACAGTATAATAAGCAAGACAAATATTTTAAAGTGTATGTTATTAATACCAGGTACTAAAAAGTTACTGTAATACAGAGGCTTTGGGGAGGGGGGGTAGTCCCCGGGCGCAGACCCTAGGGGCGCCAAAATAAGCTCATTTTAGCTGCTATTTTGAATAAAAAATTTAAAAAATATATGGGGGGCGCCAAATTGAAAGTTTGCCCCCAGGCATCGGGAGGGGTTGCTACGCCTCTGCTGTAATACAATTGCTAAATTAAGTCTTAGTGACAGACTTAGTGCAGCCTTTTATAATAATACTAGGCATGCTGCCCAGCTTTGCTTAGGCTTTCAAAAACATTGAGAATTTGAATGCTTAATTAATTCGCCCGAGGGTCGGTCTACGACCTCAGGAGTTATGAAGAGGTTCCTCCGTGGACATTTTTTTTCGATTTATAGCTCATATAAGGCGCCGGTCAGTCGAGGTCAGTTTTGACCCCATCATCGTAGACTTTTCGGCCAACCGGCCCCCGTGTTCTGTCGCCCCAAGGCAAGATCCTGCCAAATTTGAAGCGCCTGCGGCGCCGGGAAGTGCTTTATATATTATAGAGATTAGCAAATTGCATAGATAAACAAAGATTTCAATAAAGTAATTAAGGCCTGAAATACTTTAGTATAGAAATGTATTATTTGAATAGATGAATCTAGAATATCTAGATCTAGAATCCAAATAAATAAAATAAATTTTATGAGTTTAAGCCGGAAAAATTGTATTGTATACATTTCATAGTGTACGTAGATCTAAATCAAATTTGAATGGAATAGTTCATTTCTTTTTATTCTAAACACGGCAGATGACGTCATTAGTTAATGTATAAGCAATAGTGACGTCACAGTTTTATGCGTTCTTTTTCACATCTATTAATGCTTTTCCGGTTGCATAAATAATACTGTTTCTCTACATTCGAATACGCCTTTAATTTTTATTTTTCTTCTTTAAATAAAATTGTGGTTATACATTTAAAACATCTAACATATTATTTTCAACAAAAGTCCGTATAAAGTTCTCCATATATCGCTGCCGTTTCTGACGTGATGTCCGGCGAAAATATTTTGCGGACAGACAGAGAGAGAGAGAGAGAGAGAGAGAGAGAAGTGCGCACATGGGGAATTATATATTAGGATGTATGGGTCCTTTTTAGGGGTGATCCAACAATGATGTCAATTGGTCAAGTTGATCTTCTAAGTATAATTTATAGGGAATTTTTAAAATTTCATTAATTGTTTTACAATGCCAAAATGTATGAAGAATTAATGGACGGCTGTTATGAAGAGAAAAAATATAAGTAGCCTAAACAGAAATATAGTTAATAGTTTTTAATGTAGCTCCAGCACTAATTAGAATAGTATATTAGCAACCGGCCACGCCTCCGGGTTCGGGTTAGCGAGTAATACTATAAGTTTGTATTGTTAAAAGTATCTTGCATGCATGATACTATAAATAAACATATGAACTCACAATAACCCAAACACTGAGGCCACCACAATTTCAAATAGCAGTTGCCCAAGCTATGAGCCGTATGCAGATAATTTAATAAGGCAATGTGAACTCACTGTGAACCCTCGACCGTGTAGGGATTTTTCTCACACCGACGATCACACGCTATTTTATTGGAACTGCTTATTTATACTGTTTTTTACCTTTTCTAATTAAAACACACATTCATAAAAATTAAGTAGATCTATCTAATCCTAGTGTTTTCTAAAATAAATGTTTTTGTGTTTACAATAAATTATGCTCAACCCGAGGTGTACGCAAAGCGGAGAATAAAATACGCTAGAATGTAGTTTTACCTTTTTGTGAATAATATCAAATTTAGTCTGATTTTATTGGAATTTTATGTTAATTTTAAAACATACATTAAAATAATAAAAATCAATATCTTTTTGAAGAAATAATAATAATTAAATGCGCTATTATTAGTAAGAGAATGGACACCAGCGAGAAAAGTCTCAAAGGTATTTGAGAGGTCCATAAATTAACTTTAAAATCATGCACGGCGTAGTTACAATTAATATGGTTAGGCCTATAAAATCCTGCCTGTCTGGTTTTTTTCGGGCTTTACTAAAGATTGGATGTATTTGATGTTTTTAATATTTTCGGTAACTAAATAAAAAAATTTAAAAAAAGCAAAAACAATTTGGTTTTCACATGTTATGGCGACATAAACAATGGCATCCTGTTATTCGATAGGCCGCCATAAATTTTGTTGTACACATTGTAAGCTAAAAATAGAAAAACTAGGTCATGGTGTTTAAATTTGCATTGTTTTTTAAAAACTTGATCTGCAAAGTTTTGTAAACAAAAAAACTATAAAGTGGGGCTGTCAGAAATCGATCACGGAGTTCCTGTAGCCAATGAATGTTTGTCTTACAAAAGTGAAACATCGGGTTATAATTTAGGCTTGATGAAAATAAATAGAAATGTTAATGTAGCCTTAAACTCAACAAATTATTTTCAAGTTCTCTGGATCTGCAACTTGTATAGATCTAGTAATGTATAGCACTGATTCTTTAATATTTGCATTATTTGGCATTTGGGAATCTTGAATCTAGCCTAGAGTAGATCTAGATTCTAGTTTTACAAGTAGAATCTAGATATCTGGGTTTAGAGAAATTGGAAGTAATGAAAGTGTACTAGGTCTAGATATCTAGATATCACTAGATCTAGATTCGGTAATCCCTTAGTTTAGCGTCGGTTATTATTCCGGAATCGTATAGCAGTAAAAAACAGTGAAACAATAACAAAGTCTGTCACACACTTCCGGAATTCACCGGAAGTACCGTAAACCATACTTTATTTGGCGTCTTCTTTTATTTTTAAACAGAATGTTTAAAATTTGGATAGATTTATTTTTGTAATCATTTTTACATTTTGTAATCATTTTTACTATTTTCGTAATCTAGATTTTTTTACTTGGCCTAGCAGCTAGATATCTAGCTAGATCTAGATTTAATTAATTAATGGTCGCAAATCCGCTGCAAGCCAAAAACATTAAATTATTACATTTGATACATTATTTATATTTATATATGTTATTATTTTTAGATCTACTAATTTAAATCTACTATTATATTTATTCTTGTTTCCTTTTGTCGATTAAACTTAAAAAATTAAAACATTAATTTACTACAATCGACTTTCAATTTATTTATAATATATTTCAATGGTCAAATAAACCATGGTTTACCGTAACTCTAATTACCGAAACTCAACAAACATTACCCGATAATTTCCGACGCTAAACTAAGGGATTAGATTTGGATCTAGATTTAGATCTAGAATCTAGTTTACTCCGCCGGGTCCCGTAGTCTACGGGTTACCGGGTTACAATCATACCTGAGATAGCTTTGAGATGTTTGCGGTAAAGTTCATGTTTAAAAGAAAATTGCTGTATCTAAATCTGTAGTGTGGTGACCAAATAAAATTTATTCCATTTTACTGTCCAAATAAATACTTAAATATATTTTTTTTAAAAGCCAGATCTAGATTCTATATCTAGTCTAGATATAAGACATTAAAAGTCATTAAAGTTCGTTTACAGCTGAAAGTCGAGGACCGGAAATTGTTACAACGGAAGTTCATTCAACTGTTTTTAATGCTGTTACTAGAGAGAAGCAATTTGATAAGTAGTTATTTTTGTTTAACCAATGAAAATAATTTTTACCAGTATAGGAACTACGTCACACATAGAATCGCCATTTTAGTAGAGTTTTACACGTCTATACTGAAAGAGTGTAAAATTTACAACATACCATTTTGCGTTGTTCCGATTTGACGGTAAATAAAGTTATAGATCTATGTAGCACTACGTTTATTTACGATTTCTGATGTCATAAATCCTATTTGTAGATCTATACTGTGAAGCATGTTATGGAACGCCCGTCTGTCGAAAAAGGATAAAATACCCAACTAAACTTTACTAAACTCATCATACTTGAACTTGTAACTGTAACTTGATCATAGTGCAAATCTGACACTGACTAGAATCTAGCTTCTAGATCTAGATCTAAGTGACAGTACTGAACTAACTAAGCACAAGTTATTTGATTAAAAATTAAAACCTCATCTAGAAATCTACTGAGTGTTCTTCGGATTTACTTTTGGATGCTTCATAATTTTAATTTAATCCTTCACTTCTTGCAACTTCTAATCCAGTTTCAGTTATAAATATTAAATAATGAGTTATTACTATAACAAGTAAAGTTACAGTTAGCAAATAGCAGTTAGGCTATTTTTACTATTGACTATTGATATGATTTTCTAGATACCGGTGACCAATTATGGAATCTTCTTCAAAAAAGTATTGTAATCTCGACTAATTTTATGGTTAGAATTTAGGGTTAGGCGTATGGTAGGACCAGGGTTAGGGTTAGGGACAGGGTTAGCATTGACATTAGCCAGCCATGTGTGTACAGTATTTAGTTAACTACCAGTAACCTAACACCCCTTTTTTAAAGAAGATTCCATTATCGAACACCGGTGTAACAGTAAACATTCTCCTTATAGGCCCCTATTTCATTTATTTTCACTTTATAAAGATAGCCTTATAATATAAAATAATTACTTTTAATTAGCTTGGCTTAGTTAGGGAGTTAGGCGTTGTAGTTTTAGGCTATGTTATAATTAAATATAGGCCTAATTGATAGGTCTAATTGACACTAATTCAGTGGTTCCCAACCTTTTTCGAGTGGCGACCCCCTTTTATAAAAATTAAGTGACTCGCGACCCCCATAGAATTAAAAAGCCGAAATTAGTATGGAAATTAATAAGCACTAAAATAACAATTTCTTGTAGACTTTCAATATGAACTACTCTTGATAACTGTTTTAATACAATGAGTAAAATTGCATACTATTCACTAAACTGAGTAAACATTCGCGGTTAATTTTTTTTTAAAGTATTTTTTTTTGTTAACGCCAACCTATGTGGTTATCATTATCTTAATTTTGTTTTTAATCGAAAAATAGTGTTGAAAATCTATTCTCGAAAAGTCAATCAATTTTACGTTTGGGTATGAATGGTGAATACTACACCAAAATTGAGTGTGCAGTTTTTTATCTTACGCGGAATCATTCTACAAATCAAAGAATTCTTCGTGAATGCTGGCAACATTGAGGGAAGAAGAGAATGGATAATGCGTCAATGCAGATTCTTTTTTTTTCAGCTCAGAGAAATAGCGCTGCAGTTCGTTTTCACTTGATTCAAGATGCCCAGAAATTTCTACTTACAAAATTTTAATTATCTCACAATTAGATTCATCTACCACACTGCAGAGTTTCTCAAATTTACAATATTTCCTAGATTTATTTTCTTTGCCGATTTTGCAGCTTTGACAAAATGCCCCAAGATAATCATGGAAAGTGATAATATTCGTTTCCCTGAAGCTTCAGGTTATGCTTATGTTGATGTTCGAACACATCTGCTAGGTATGATGCTCTCTCCAACCACTCTATGTCGTTTTAAGTATACCAAAAGGTCTTGTTTCCTTTGCATTTCCAAGAACAAATTGATTTTAGATTTCAATTCAAAAACACGATTCACAACAATTCGTTTGACAGCCAGCGCACTGTGGTGTAGAAGAGCAGAACCTCGTGATCTTTATTCAGGTCTTTGCTCAGTTCTTTGAAGGCTACAGATTTTATATAATTTACCACATATACTAGCAATGGAGTCTTGATGGCGATTGGTGAGGGTAGTGGTTAGGGAGCGAAATCTTTTCTGCTTTCTGAAAGCCCGATTTTGACCTAAACATAGATGGTGCACCATCCGCACAAATCCTTATAACCGTTTTAACCCATTTTAATCATCCAATTTAAAAAAAAACTATTAATTTTCTCCATGCTATCTTCACAAAAGAGCAACTCTTCTTTGCTATTATCTGAATGAATATAGACAAAGACCAGCAACTGCGAACACGAACTCACAGTCTGTCGATTTATCAACTTGAAAAGCAAAAATGGTGAAAGCTTAATTTCAATAAAAATGTGTTATTTAACATCTAAGAATGTAAGAATTAACTTCAACATCTTCAACATGCAGCGTTTGATGAGATTTTCTCCTAATGTGTTTGTTTTCGCTTGGCATTTTCTGTCACGACTTCATGTGATGCTTGCACTAATGCTGTGTTTCCTTGGTGAAAACTTCCTGTTCGATCAAGTCTCTGACGTTTGCAACTAGCTTCATACCGACGAAAGAACTCCATATCTTTTTTGGTGTGTTTCGAATGACTCGTCTCAAATGACGTTTTAGTTTTGAAGATTTCATAAACTCGTGACTGAGAACAACTTTGTACAGTACGCTTTTTCTCTATTCCCTTTCCAGTGATGTTAGTAAAGCCGAATTTCAAAAATTCTTCTAAATATTTATGTTTTGTTTCAAATTACTAAGGTTTAGTATACCAGTTGGCGACCCCCCAGAAAGCCCTTCGCGACCCCCAGGGGGGTCGCGACCCCCAGGTTGGGAACCCGTGCACTAATTGTTATGTTACTTTAACAAAGTAAACTGTAAACTGATTTTAGACCTAAGGTAAAGGATTTTTTAATTAAATGGTTGAAGATACTGATATCTTCTTCTTCTGCGTTCTTAATAATTTAGTTTATGGTGGAGGATTCAAACAAGTCCAACTTTGTGTATAAACTGGACTGTGGTCGCTAGATCCGCAGGTGCCCCATACAGTTATTATATACTGATGTCTGATAATAGACTCTTCCAAAAATAGGTGTTTTATGTTGTTAGCAGTATTGTAATCTCGAATAGTTTTAGGGTTAGGCTATGGTAGGGTCAGGGATAGGGTTAGCATTGACATTAGGAAGAAATTTGTTTATTTTAGTTAACTACCATTACCTTAAATTTAAGCCTAAAACCACTTATTTAAGAAGATTCTATTATTGGACACTGGTATAAAAAAGATCCCCCTTTTTATTTTCAATAGGGCCTAGATCTGGATTTTATTTAATTTTGATCTTAACATTCTAGCAATATTCTAGAGATCTACTAACTTGTCTACTTCTAGCTTAAGCTAAACTACTAGCTAGAGGAGTCAAGTTTTATTACATATTAGGCCTAAATACTAAAATGACTCACCTAGGCCTAATAATAAAATTATAGCTTATCTAGGCCCTAAATAAATTTAAAAAAATGACATTGATTAGACATTAATTGTATGCCCTAACTTTAGTAACTACTAGCCTATATCTACTTCTTACTTGTTAGTATCGCCTTCTAATTTTAATAATTTAACCTAGGACTTGGGCTAATAGTTATACTTGTGTTGCATTTGTTATTCAACTAAACATTCAACCTACAGACTGCTTTTTTATATTATTGACCCTTGCTTCAGCCAGATTTATCACCTGAATCTCATTTGTCACTAAATTTTAGATAAGAAAATGTAGACCTCAAATTTTAACATTATTATGACATTAAGTTCAGTTGTATCCAATTTTAATTTTGTTAGATCTGCCTTATTCCACATCTGGCCAAAATCCTAATTTATTATATTAAATTGACTATGCCTAATTATTAATTCTGTTAGAACTAAGTAGACATTCCTTTTGAAAGTCTGCAGGATGTAGGTCTATTTATTTAATATATTACTTTTAGTCATATTTGCTGATAAATAAAACCCACAATATTACACTGAATTGTCCTGACAGCTTTTGTAAGAACTGAAACCTCTTGCTAAAAGTCTACTTAAATATGAAATAGCAGTAGTGTAGACTACTGTTGACAATGCAATAAACCCTAAAGATAGATAATTTAAGTTTGTAGTTGTTGTAAATAACTTTTAGGCCTATGTTACTTAGCATTATATGCTCTTTTGCTTTATATTCTTTAATTGTTTTGTTTTGCCTTACACTAACAGTTTCTTATATATTTTCAGACTAGCCAGCTTATCAGCTATGTTCCTGTGGGACTATTTTTCATCAATTCTTAATTTTTTAGGCAAGTAAATTCTATAGTTTTAGGCCTAATACATTATTCAGTCTAATTTAAGAAAGCTCTAGACTAGAAAGTATAATAATAAATTTATTGTTAAAATAGTTTTTAACAGTATTGTTGGATTTTAAAAGGTTTTGGTCGTAAAGCTGGAAAATTAATCCTTTTGGGATTGGATAATGCAGGAAAAACAACTCTGTTAGGAGTTCTCAAAGAAGGGCATATTATTCAGCCTGTGCCCACTCTTCATCCTAGTAAGTCCAGTACTGGACTTGGTTCACTTGGGCATGGTACTTGTGGAATAACAGGGCATGATTTTTTTTTTAAATTAGCTGTTTGTTATTGCACTATGATTTTAAAATTTAACCGTATGTGAAAATAGAATGACAAGGAAATGATATCTTGGCCAATGAGTTTTCAACAAGTAGTGAAATTTTTTAAAACTTCCATTTTTCTCCAAAAATCATTTTGGTAATCTTGTTCAGGCAATTATGTGTGCCCTATAATTTAACAGTGTACTTTAAAGATAGAAAATTTAACAGCCATTCTACCTAAAGGGGAAAATAAACTTGAATTTCAGCATATTATTGCACTGAAAAAAATTTGCAAATTTTTATTTTCAACATTAGAAATTGAATATTTAACATGTATTATCTATAACCTATTAGGAAAAAAGTTGTATCACTACTCTGTGCTATGGACTTGTTTGTAATAATACTACTGTATATTTTTGCTCTGAGCAGTAGCTGATTACTAATGCAGTTGGCTTGATTTTTACATGCATGGGTTTTGTTGCTACATCAGTAGGTGATAAAACTCTCTACCATTTTAGGTTTATGGAAGAAATCTGGTAAATTAGTATTCCTTGGGCTAGACAACGCAGGGAAAACCACCCTTCTACATAGGCTCAAAGATGATCGAATGGCTCAGCATGTTCCCACACTTCACCCAAGTAAGTCATTTACCCACAGTTGGAACATTGTTTACTTAAATATCTGTAAACTGTTAATGTGCTCCTTTCTTTTTCGCTATTTGAAGTGTCACCTGTGGGTAATGACTGAAGTTGTTTTAAAAATTAACATTTTGAAAAGAAAATATTAACACTGTTAAGCTTAAGTGTATCCCTATGCATTTCTAACTTAACAATGCACGATTATATTTAGCTAAATCTACTTTTTAAGAATTAAGCATTTTTAATAAAGCCATAAAATAAGAATTTAAAATTAAAGCTTTTTAAGGTTCTGTTTAAAAAAAAAATTGTAATTTACAAATCTTCAGTAAGATATCTAGTGTTGCTTTAATTATACTCTTTTTTAAAAAAAAAGTTATATAAAAGGGTTTTTTTTTTTTAAATAATAATTAAACTGTCTAAAAGACTAAAATAAAAAGTGAAGAAATGTATGAAATAGAAAAATAAACATAAAACTTTATTTATAATAACTCTAAAACCCATGATTTACAGCATCAGAAGAGTTGTCCATGGGAGGAATGAAGTTTACAACTTTTGACCTGGGCGGTCATAGGCAAGGTATGTGTTTGCAAAAATTAATTTTATGTCTCATCCAAAAAGCAGAATACAAATATGGTTAATTCCTATGGATACTTTTACAAGTCAGTTCCAAAAATTTGTTTCATGATCCTAGTTGCCTAACAATTTTTATTTTAACTTAAGCTTGATTGACAAGTAAAGGACAGCCCAAAAATATAGCAAAATAGTAGAAATAAAGGAGATTGAAAGCACAATCAGTATAACAAATATTCCACAGCACGAAGAGTATGGAAAGATTACTTCCCAGCAGTGGATGGCATTGTGTTCCTTATTGATTGTCATGATCGAGGACGATTTACAGAAGCCAAAGCAGAATTAGATGTAAGATTTGTTTTATTAAATAGTCATTGTTTTATAAAAAATTGTTTACTATTTTAATTTTAATAGGTGTATCTATGTTTTAAAATTCACCTATTTGAAAATTTGATTCAGAGTCTACTGACAGATGAACAAGTAGCCAATGCCCCAGTTTTAATATTGGGCAATAAAATTGATATACCTGGTGCTGCTAGTGAAGATGAAATTAGACATTGGTTTGGACTACACAATCTAACTACTGGAAAGGTAAGCTCACTACAAGCTTATAACTACACTTAAATTTGCTGTTCTTAAAAATATTGATACAGCTTTTGTTTGCAGTACATTTGCATGATTATAAACTTCTTTTATTTGTTTTTTTTTTTTTTTTGTTAGCTTTTTTGTACATTATTTCTGTAATCTTTCACTTACTAACATTAATAAATAATCAAGCTAAATGTATTTTGTTTGAATTCTTTCAATCCTAGGGCACAGTTTCAAGAAGTGAATTACCTGGCCGTCCAATGGAACTTTTTATGTGCAGTGTACTGAAGCGACAAGGATATGGAGAAGGTTTCCGTTGGCTAGCCCAATACATCAATTGATAAGCTGCAGCAGTCAGAGTGTGAGAGTGAAAGAATGATGAAGATAATGGTGTTTGGTTGCCAGGAAACATGCTGAGTGTATTAAGTAGTTCTAAAAAAAACATGTGACTGTATATACACAAATTATTTGTATACATGTGATGGTTGGTATTTTAAAAAGCTTCATGAAGAGAAATTGGCCTGGTTCACTTGTAACAGTGGTACGCTTGCTTTTGTTGTACTCAACAAAACATGTCTTGTTTCTGGTGTGTACCTGATGCGTCAAGTACACAGAGAATTGTGTTATGTTAATAATCTTCTTGTTTACTTTGGAAAATGCTGAGACAATTTTTTTTTCTCCCCACCTCAGCTACAAATTTCTATATTTATGTTCATTCAATGTGCTAAAGGAACACAGTATATTTATATTTTTTCAGTGCTTGTCATCATAAACTGATATTCATACAAATTTAGTAGCTCAAGATACCATCTAAGTACAGATAAAACAGATGTACATATAAGTTATCAATATCTTTCTCCTGGTGTTTTTTTTGCATGATTGTTTTAACTTTAAGATGAAAGCATTTTTTTTTTTTAAAATTCTGGTGTCAGTAATGTGATTGTATGTTCTTATGCAAGTCAGTGTAGTCAAGATACTTTAAAGCCTTATAGAGACAAGTTATCCGTCAGCTTTTTTTGTAAGCTTCTGTTAACTTGCCTCGTTAAAGCGATAAAGATTGTTACTTGAAATGTAGCTGCCTCATGAAAGGCGCTTGGATGAAGTACATTTTTAAAAGGAATTTTGTTTTGTAAAGATATGAAATCAAGCCAATGGGCAAGATTTCATTTTGCTTTAAAAAATGTGTAAAAATTGTGAAGTATAAAACTGAAGACAATTCTCAAAATACCAGAATTTTTAGCCCAGTTTTCAACCAGTAGTAAATCATTCAGAACTAACCTAACCCTTTAACAAGTATTAGTGTTGACTAGCAAGTCTACTATTACATTCACTCTATTGTTCTTTTAATAATAAGTAAATAAATACTACAGCATTAGGTATGTAACACTGAAATGTCCATGACGTTTTATTCTTTAGCAGTTTTATTCAAATAAAATTTAATTTCTTAAACTGCATCTTCAGAAAAATTATATTCATTCTTTTATAACAAGATGTTTTCATTATATATTATTAATTACTATAAACGTATAACAGTAGCAGCTAGCTAATAAACTGAAGAGATTCATTTGTGTGCCACCAAAAACTTCCTCTGGTATACTTATTCAAAAACTTTTCATCATTTGGATTGATGATGTTTCATTTGTAGTATAAATAAAACTATCAAATAATACCCAGAATATTCATATTTTGTGCATTTTTTTTTTGCTGAATGGAAAAATGAGTATTGTATCTTAAATCAGTATTTTACAAAGTGATTGTCACTTAATGAATACAAAACCTTAATAATTAGCAATGTATCCACAATTTTTGTCTCACAAATAAAATAAGCCTACATGAAATTAAAATCGCATATAAAAATCTTATACATAAAGCTAATGTAAAAAAAATTGTAACCCAGGTTTCAACTTAAGTTAAATTGCAATAATTGCTAGTTGTAGAACTAAATTTGGGCAAATAATATATTACTTTGAAGAAAATTAGAACATCTTGCATGATTGGATATATTTCTGTAGAAATTCTATGCAGCAACAAAAGGCAAATATCTGACTACAAGAGAAAAGCAGGCAAATTTAGTCACTTTCCCTTATCTGCTCTATTTTATCATGTCCTTGGTTTTAAAACTAGTCCAGTTTAAAACACAATATGGAGTTTAAACATTCAACACATGAAGTGAAATGTTGGCTAGGTTGTGTTTTTAAACTATCAGTGCAGCATGAGATACCATACCCAGACATAACCTTAATCAAACAATGGTAGCTCTACTTAAGGTACCTGAAAGAAAGTTCAAATGGTAGGCAGTTACTGTCGGTAACTAATTGACCATTGTGTACATGCGGCAAAAACAACGCATTCTATCTGACAGATTGGTCAGTTTTTATGCTATATCGCCCTGTTTATCAAAACATGTCATAATGGGACTACTTTCAGAAGATTTTATAACTTGGTAAATTAATTTAAAGGAATTTTCTTTCTTTTTTTTTCATGTTGGGTTTTCTGCAATATTATTTTACCTTAATATTTTTGTTAGTCTATTGAATATGAGTAAAAAAAATATTCTTTATTGTGTCTTTTTCTTTTATTTCCAACATTCAAGGAAAGTTAGTGATTTTCATCTTAGACAAGATGTGTTTTACTTGTTAGTTGTGACTTAGTAGAGGAAATACATTCGCCTTTCATTTGATGGAAATGGAGAACAGAATTTTTTATGCTTTTAATTTCCCTTTTTCCTTTCCCCAAAATTTAAAATCATTGTATCATAAACATGTAAAATAGGGATCGGTTGGAGTTACAATACAAACTTCTTCTCTCCCCCCCCCCCCCCCCTTTTTTTTCAAAAAACTTGTTTGAATACTTTTTATACTGGGTTCCCACGCAGCGGGGAAAAACCGGAAATTTCGATGAATAGCCGGGAAATATCGTAAAAAAAAACCGTGGAATCTTGCTTCCCAGGTGTTTTTTTTCCTTCCGGGTGTCGCGAGATTTGGACCGGGCCTATCGGATAGACCCTATCCAATCTCTAGTCTCGCCGGTTCTCGTGGTTCCTTTTTACCGATGGTCTGTTTCCCGCCCATCACGCAAGCGTACATTGCACATCTACTGCCAGAGTTTCTTCCAGGCATCTTTTCGAAAAAAGTCAACCCCCCCCCCCCGAACGAGATGGAATTTATATAGTAAACATACACTTTAACTAGGGTCCGCCGCCCCCCCCCCCCCCCCCCCCCGGAGAAAAAAGTCTGGAAGAAACACTGTCTACTGCTATGCTAGATGCTAGCTTAGGGTTACCCAACATTGACGTCATTATTTCGGTTTTTTTTCAGGATTTGTTTAAAAGTTAGACTACACGTGATTTTTTTGTGTGGCTTATTTTAACTCGCCGTGTAATCTAGAGACGTACCTAAATAAATTGTACGAGCCGACTCGCGGCATATCATACGCCGCTATTTAGTTGTTTTATTTTCTACTTTTCAGTAATTCATAATTTGTGAATTCGACAGTACCAATGCTGCCACTGAAAATATTTGCTTTAAAACACTAAAACCCTCCTTTCCCCCTACCCCCACCCCCACCCACGTGAAAGCAGCCTCCACACTTAGTTACCTCCCCTAAGTTTAAAATCGTTTCAAACTAAATTATCTGCCCCTAATAGCCGTCACTAAACCCAGCTCTACGATGTAAACATTTAGCGTGAACTACAGCTCAAGCTCACCAGACCATGTAAGTGTGGGGGTGGTTGCGATATGCCTAGAGAGGAAAAGAAGTGACTGCTCGGCGTGCTTGCAGCTTGTTTTCTAACGTCTCCCGGAAGAGAATTATATATATATATATAGATTAAAGTACTAGTATCGCGCGCAAGTACAGCCTTGTTTAATATTATCACAAATTTTCAGGAAGAGATGCCTGGTAGAAACTCTGACTGAATTTGAGAAACAGATTTGAAAAAAAAAATTGCGAAAGCCAGCGTCTCTTGCGTTCATGAAAAAAATTAAAGACTAGTGATGTCACCGACAATCTGAAATGCAAGTATGGGTCAACTACAATTATTTCATGGGGAGGGGAGATAAAAATTGGAACATCTGGAGTATATAGGGCTTTCTTGAACTCACTGTGACCCGCAAGGAGGCCCACGTTTTTTTTTTGTTTTTTTTAGGGGGGGGGGGGGGATAAAGTGACCTCATGAGCTATTTCAAATAGCAATTGTTCATGTTATGACGTATACTATAGGCCTTCACAATAACCTCTCGACGTAGTCTAGTTCGGGGGGGGGGGGGGGGGGGAATGCAATTTGCCATACCGTCAATTTTTTAATAGCAGTCCAAGGCTATTTGAAAAGCTTACATATAGATGTGTTTACTATTGTCTGCTAGGCTCAAATGTTGTTGGTTTTTTTTTTTAGTTTTTTTTTTCAAAGTAAGATTTATTTTAAATAATACGCCCCAGGATCTAATTTCAGGTATTCCGGATGACAGAGTTTCTTCCAGGCATCTCTTCGGAGCCCCCCCCCCCCCCCTCCTCCGAAGAAAGTCTACCCCCCCCCCCCCCCCGAACGAAATGGAATTTATATAGAAAACGTATACTTTTACCAGTGTTCGCCCCCCCCCCCCCCCCGGAGAATGTTGCCCCTCCCCCTCCCCCCCACATAATATCAAGTGCCCCCCCCCCCCCCCCCCCCGAGAAAACAGTCTAGAAGAAACACCGCGGGTTGATCTCATTGTCTATCAAACTAAAATGTTAAAATTAAATTATGCTCGTTTAAGTTTAAAAAATACAGTTACCTCTAAAAAAACGTAATAAACATCAAATTGAAAACAGTGCGAAAGATCATTATAGTTTAAATAAGTTAAAATAAAAGTTTCCTGGTCAAAAAATTGTGGGAACCCTGATTATAGCTAGCCATCGTTTTTACCACCCCCTTTGGACCCGTCAAGTTTTGGACTTAATTTTTGTCTCAGCTGTCCCTTCCAGGCATACATTAACCGACCTGTGCTCATTAAATATTCATTCGTGTTAATTACCACGGTGACACGGCCCGTCTCGACAGATCGACTTACACGTGTAGCTTGTAGCCAACGTGTTGGTGTTTATTGATGCATCGATCAAGTGATACTGATACGTGGATCACACGCTATGCACGCATGACTGGATACATATTACATTAGTACTAGCCTTCAGCCACCCCCTCCCTCCCTCCCTCCATCCCTCCCTCCCTCCCTCCCAATGTGAGCCTTTTAAGGGGAGAATTTTTGTTACCGATCTCATTGGCTTAGTAGGCTTATTATTATTAATCCTTAGTTGTATGAGTGTCTTAAATGTAAAACTATGACATGATTTCTATTCAAATGCAAACCAAATGTTTGCTAATGGAAGTGTTATATTTATCATGTTACTGATTACACCTTCTTGATGAACTGTTTCAGAATATTGCTTCTAGTTGCAAGAATTTCATTTTGATTTTTGTAATTTCAAGTAAGTTAAGTTCCCATTTTCGGACCTGACGGCCCATGGGGCAAGTGAAGTAGAGTTTAACTGTTTCTGTGAAACTCGGCATATGAAGGGATAGTGTGGTCAGCACTGTACACAGTCGCCGTTACTTTCCATAACGTGAGTTAGGTACCCATCAATGCTGAGTGGACTCAGGGACGTTCTACTGACATGAATCCGGATTTGTACTCGAGACTTTCAGGTTAGCAGTCTAGCACTCTACCTCTAGGCCAAGTAGCTTATTGGAATTGACAGTTGCTAATGTAGTTCGGCAGCTCAAGTACTGATGTTCTACATTAACAGATAATTAACTTTGTTCATTCATGCTTACATGTGCAATATGCATGTAGATTCTTATTTTCGAAACTCTCTATAAATATGTATCCAATAAAAATATGTTTATCAGAGAGGACTGTCTACTCTATAAATATGTATCCAATAAAAATATGTTTATCAGAGAGGACTGTCTACTCTATCATACAAATCAGCACTAACAAAATTTTGTTACGAACGCACAATTGTGGTTTCACCACATTGAAAATTTTGAAATAGAAAGCGACAAGAGCTGTTTATAGAGCTAAATAGAAGATAGCTGTGGCTTATCTGAAGACGGCGGCTGTTATACTGGGAGTCCATGGGGTAGGTAGGTCGCGGTGATTGATCAAAAGTGTGTCTCTTCCCGTCTTCTTACGTCATTCACAAATGTAAATAATGGGCACGTGACTTTGTTATAGGGAGATAAGTGAGCGGTGTTCACGTTTTTGACTAGTCTAGTCCATATCTAGCAGGAGTAAATAAAACAGTACTTGAATTTTCTGGGTTGACCTGCACAATAATTTATGTCACAGTCGTGAAGGAGATGGGGCAGAGGCGTCCGGGGACAAACTTTTCGATTTGCACCCCCCCCCCTCAAGATTTCGATTTGCACCCCCCTCAAACTTTCGATTTGCACCCCCCCACCTCAAACTTTCGATTTGCACCCCCCTCAACCTTTTAATTTGTTTTTCCAACCCATTTTGGCGCCCCCTAAGGTCGCCCGCCCCTCGCTACGACTCTGAGGTGGGGGGGGGGGGGTCGGACTGTTGTCAACACAAAAAAAGACGATGTAAAGTGAGAGGGGGTTGTCATTTATTGACCACACCTTACTATAAGACGCTATGACGAACGTTTTGTTTGTCTATCGAATGAAACAGCACAACTGAACCACGTGGTCAGACCATTCGGCTAACAGAACAGTATCGTTAGCTTGGCTAATGACATTAATGTTATTAACATTGTTAACGTATTCAACGATATATATTAATACTTATAGCCATTTATTGAAACAGGTTTTATGTTAATGTATGAAGTTCAATCTCATCGATCAGAGCTACAGATGCTACAGATGGCGCTCTGTCAATTATCATTACTGTAATACTGTTGTCACAACTGTTTGGGAAATAAAGTATAGCTTTTATTACTTTTAAAATACAAGGCACTGTGCAACATCATCTTTTCTGAGGTAACTTTGTGGAACAAAGGGACGCTAGCACACCTTACATCGTTGTCTGTTTTGGGCGATTCCTCCAAGTTGGGTCCATGACATTCCAGTTGCTTATTCTTCACTTACAACGGATATTTTTTTCAAGTATAAGGACTGTGCACGTAGATTTAAAAATAGAACAGAAGAAAAATTAAATGTTTGATCCACAAATATAAGATGGTCTAATGGTAGAGCGCTCATCTCCTAGCCCGAAGGTCTTGAGTTCGGGTCTCGTTCCGGACTTGGGACTGCAGGAAGTCCATGAGTCCACCCAGCTCTGAAAGGGTACCTGACTCACGATTGGGAAAATAAAAGCGGCTGGGTATAATGCTGACCACACTATCCATTCAAATGCCGTAGTCAAGAAACATACAACTCTACTTCACTGCCATACAGATCATTAGATCTGAAACAGCTGAAAAAATTAATTTTATGAATGTTCTTCAATTCTCTTTGCAGATATTGAGACGCTGTGTGTTCTTCATTGTTCCATGACGCGTCATGCCTACACTTCGCCCACTGCTGCATCTACAGGGGCCTTTATTTACCTGTGCTATCATTAGTGAATTACAGCATGAAATTAACATTGTAACTAAAAAGGTGAATAAACATAGAACAGCAACTTTCATCAGCTACTCTGTGGCGTTGAGTACCACACTTCTTTAAGTTGCTGACTGCGGTCTGACTCACAAAATGGTCGCCATCAAACCACTGCTCTTGAGTGCTGACTCGCCTCTGTGCTCAGCGGCGTCAGCGCTGACTCTACTTCAAGCTGCCGAGAGCATCAGCCAACACGTCGCTCAGAATGTCCACTCATTCCTCTCATCAAGACGGGTATCACGTGGTCAGGCAAACGATGGAACCAGTCCTGCTCACAACCAAATTCCTACGTCGTGTGTATCTCAAAGCTCAGACAATCCCAGCAATAATAAAGGAAAGAATAGGCGCAGTTCATTGGACATGGATTCAAAACATCGGGAAACATTTGCTGAAAATCAACACAAATACCACACGCCTAACTCAGATCAAGTGGGAATACCCGGAAAAACATGTCTTCAACTCATAAAGGGAAACAATCGAGGGCAAACTGAACCAAAATCCACAAATAATCCAACGAGACGTTATATAAGTAGAAAGGTCAGACTTTTTTGTTTACTGTGCTGTCTAAGAATAACTACAAATTGTTTTATTTTTTATTTTTATCTATATTATTTTATTAGGACATTAAAGATTGGACTGGGTTCCCCGTGGTAGAGCTACTCAGTCCGAGACAGAAAATTAGGAGAAAATTAATTGCGGTGCCCCAACGACCCAAATAAGGGTTAAGGACGATTGATTGATATTAGGGAAAGTAAAGGTGATCACACTATACTTTTATATGCCGAGGTCACAGAAACAGATGAACTCTACTTGCCCTATGGGCCGTCGGGTTCTAAGGAGAACTTAACTTTAAACCAAGTTTACCTAGTAAATGTTTATAGTTAGAAGCTCTAAATATTTCCAGACAGTGGGGATGGATAATGTTTTAAAATATGACAACAAAACTTGAGTTCAGCTCATGGAGAGGTGAGCCGCTGGGCGACCTATTTTGAACCTTTTTAAAAACAATTTCTACTTTTAAAAAATAATTAGGGACCCGCAGGAAACTGTAGAAACTACGTTAAGTATAACAGATTAAAATTTTCTTTGCTTTTTTTTTTGTTTTTGTGAAAAAAGTATTATAACCAATGAAGAGTAAAAGCAGATATTTATTTTAAGATTCGTGTGTTGCAGACACCAATGTAAAGTTTTTAGAAAATAAAGGGAAGCAACAACATAGAAAACATTACTAAAAAGGTATTTTTAGAGTTATTTTTCCTGATTACTCTCTCGCGCCGTTCGATGGTTTCTGTGCTGCTGGCACCTCTAAACGAGCCTTTTGCTCCTCGTGCACTGAGCGCGTATAAGGCTTGGCCACAACTTTAGGAACAGACCAGTGAGTTTTGTGAATGAACACAATCTAGTGAATAGCTTCGCGGATATATCAGGTCTGTTTTCCTTTTGATAAGTCAGGTTTTTTTAACTGTTACAAGGTAAAGTACATATCGAGGATTATTTTTGAGTTAATTTTTTTGTATTCATCGTTTTAATTAATTACAGCTTGATGTAGACGAATCAAATTATTAATCAACAATAGAATCGGGGTTTGTAAAAAAAGAAGTGAATTTGATTTTTTAAAGTTTAAATTCTAAAATCTCGACTTCGAAATTCTTCCTATTGGATGACAAGAAACTGTTCTTTATTTCTCATTTGAGTAAGGTATTAATTAGAGCTGAGTGGACTCAGTCACTTCTTACGGACTCACAATGGAAAAGCGAACTCGAGACTTTCGACTTAACAAAACATAAAGCTCGCTTGACATTCTGCTATCCGGGTTACTCATAAATATTGTCCCTCTTTTAAAGTCTTTTTTGAAGATCTGTATCTCAATACCATTACACATCGTCACAAAATGCCACTCCCCCCCCCCCCAACATGACGTCACACTTCAATCTACACCCCCCCCCCTCAAAATTGCAGTTTAATTTCTTTCTAAAACACTGACTGAGCTGGGCCAACATAGAGTATATTTATCAAATTTTTTATAGAATTTACAAAAACTGCTTTAAAAAACGCGAAATAACGGCTACAATTCAGCTTTTAACATTACTTTTTAAAAATGCAAATGTGTGACATCACACCTGAACCTCCCCCCTTCCCCTCATCTTACATCGTCACAAAATTCCGACCCCCTCTCCCTTTCCCCCATAGGAGGGTTACATAATTTATAGACCACCCCTCCACAATTTCGCCAGCAAAACATAAGGACCGCAATAATCTTTTATTTTTTGCCTTAATCTTCTAGGTCAAGGACGGGCAGCTGGTCATCGATGCCCTCATGGATTACCTAAAGGTCAAATGGACTAAGCTCAGGCTCAAGTTCCAGAAAATGTCCAAATGGAACGTGAGTCATACTTTTTATGTTGCGATAAACGGTGCGTTTACATTGGCTGCTGACTTTTTTTTTTTAAATGCGCTCTGATAAACCTGATATTTAAAACGAAATTGATATTAAAAACAGTTTTAAAAAACTGAAGCTGGGGAAAATATTTCTGTTCCTTTTTATTTTTTGTAATTAAAAAAAATTAAAACCCAATGTTTTTTTGTTTCCATGGTGACCATCCAATATCGTGTTTCCGTAATGCATCATCGGATATCACGTAGCGATTGTTTTAATTGATAGTGGGTGACAGTACAGGCAGTCTGAACGTCTATAGAAAAGGTTCTCACAGTTAGGTAGGCCTACCAGGTAAACCACTTGGGGATTAGCGGGGACAAAAAGTTTGGGCTTACCTACGGACATCGGGGGGGGGGGGGTAAGGGTAAACAACACAAAAAGCCACATACAACACCCGTAATATCGAAGGGGGGAAAGGTCTAATTAACCAGAGGCGTAGCGACACTTCCCGGCGCCCGGGGACGAACTTTCAATTTGGCGCCCCCCCCCCCCCCCCGGGACAAACTTTCATTTGGCGACCCCCCCCCCCCATCCCCCATATTTTTTTAATATTTATAATGCAAAACTGCAGTTAAAATGGGCTTTTAATTTTTTTTTCAACCCATTTTGGCGCCCCCTAGGGTCGGCGCCCGGGGACATATGTACCCCCCGCCCCCTCCCTTCGCTACGCCTCTGTTATTAACTCACGTCACAAATAACATAAAGTCTCAACCCCCCCCCCCCCCCCCCATGACAATTGTAACGACAATTATGGTCGCCCCTTATCACATCATGGCAGGTACTCATTAGGGACTATTGTAGGTTCTATAGCTTTTACAAAATTTAAAACGTTTCAAGTTTCCTTTACACATACAAGGACACGCACCCCCATATACACACACATACACACAACTCGCCCCTCCCCGCTCCCCCATCCCTATCGCTGATTGATCGAGCTCTTGTTGATAGAGATAACAAATTGATTATGTCACGTGTTTCCCGGCGCCGCAACTCATCGGTGGGATGAATAGAAGAGTCGGTTGCTAAGATAAACAGTCTGGGCCAATCGCGTTGCTACTATTGCACACAACGTGAACCTGCTGTTACCGTTGATGATAAAATCATAACAAATGAGACCTGGAGAACTGTTACAGAATACACAGAAGAAAAAAATCTCTACGTTATATCTATAGATCTAGACTAATTCTAGACCTCTACTAATAATATATTAGAGTGGAAGAGTGTTTAACAAAAATATTTCATTGAATTATTCCGACTTTGCGCACACGCGTGATAGTACAACATGCCATGTCGTTAGAAATATAATCAACTCACTACATTGGCACGACATTATATCCTGCTATATTTTAAAATGTTTTTTGTGTGTATAGGCCTACATTTATACAACTTAATTAAACACTTATATGTCAGACTCGTTTATTTAGTTTAACGCTAATATAAGTTTTCACACCGTATGTCTAAGTTAGCTTATTTATTGTTACAATTTAGTTTACGCTAAAAGTAAAACAGTAAAAATCACTATACCTATACGTGAGTCGAATGACCATCATAACCCACACAAGAGGCTACCCCCTCCCCATAAAGTGAAGCCCGTTTAATTCCTCCTCCCCCTCTCTTCCCCCTCCCCCACCACCCCATCATCACAGAAGTATGACCCCCTTACAGATGTGTTTTCATTTCTGGACGACCACAGGTTGTTTTACTTCATTAAAAAATAACTGATAGATTCTCACTACGTCCTATAGAATAATTTTATAAAACTTGTAGATTTATAAAAGTAAGTAAATGAAGACAAATTACTGATATCGTAGGCTGAATTAGTCTTTATTAGAGTGAGTGTGTCATAGGATTGACCTACGTCGTTAGCGAACGAACCTGTTTTATTTGCATCCAGTTTTCCCATCGCTTCGCGGAAACCGTTGCTATTTACTATATTAAACAGTAGGGCGATACCAGAATGATTATAAAACAGTTTGACTAAGTCTTAACGATAGAAGTATCGAACATAGTATAATGTCGATACCGCCCAATAGAAAATATCGATTTTAGTGTCACTCTTCATTTGACCTACATAACAAAGAGGAATGTAGTGTGTCTGTGTTCATACAATTCAGACTGGGCAAAAATGAGCTTCGTGTTATAAATGTGGCTTTGTTTTAAAACAAAAGGATTTTTTTAATTTTCTGAAACGGAAATATATCTGTCTTAAAATATCAAATGGAGCTAACCGGGTTTGAAAACAGCCATGTTACTAAGAAGAGCCGAAAGCCGTTGAGAATACCATTAGCGTTAATTCTAAAACAGCTGACTTTGAAGGTAGGACTGATTGTAGACTGACTCTACTACTTTCATATAGATCTACGACACGTTAACTAGGCTAAGCAGCTTGCTTTCTTCTTTCTCTGGAGGGGGGGGATTTAAAATAACGGGGGAGGCGGCGGACACT